GCGCAGGCGAGGTCTCTCAGCGCTCCTAGCTGTGGCGAGGTCCTCCTTAATATTCACGCCATCAACGTCTCATGAGCTTTTCGCTCCAGTGGGTTCAAGACACCATGAGTTTGTTTGTGCACCGTGCATGCTATCGTGATGCTAAATATATCATGCATGCTGTATGCGACATGTCAAACGTCTTGATGGCTGCGCCGCTAATGAATTCCACTGCAAATACCTCGATTAATAAGCCAGAGATAAAACGCTCAGGACAAACGAAGCCTGCCTCATCTCCCGCGTTCTCACACGTCAGACAGGGCCAGAGGCGATGCCGCCTTCAAGCCCCAGCTGTCGCTCGGCCTGCCCAGACGGTTGTGCAGCCGCTAGGGCCGTCTTTACGACGGGCCCAGTGCGGCCGGCATCCAGCGAGCGCCGCCGGCGCCGCGCCACCGGGCCCGGGGTCGGCGCGGCCACGGATCGATTCCGCGGTCGCCAATTACGGCGCGTTAGGTGCCATCAGCGGCGCGGCGGCCGCGGGCGGCTGCATCGCTGCGGGATGACGCGGCGCCGGCCGCCGGTCCCACGGCGCCGGCGCGCCGCGACAGGCCCCGACCCCGCGACCGGCCCGCTGATCGCACCACCGCCGTGTAATTAGCTCGTAACCGGCCGCATTGACGGGTCGGCCCGCGGCCGCGGCCGCCGCGCCGCATCTCGCCGCGCTGCGCCGCGCCACGACGCCCCGCGCCTCGTCGCGCCACGCCGGGCAACGCCGCGCCGGAACGCCGTGTTGTGACGGCCCGGACAACAGCGGCGGCGCTGTGTGCGCGGCCGGCAAAAACGCGGCGACATCCGGCGCGGCGCGCCGTACACGGCCGTTGACTGGAGCCGGGCGGTGCGCCGTTTTTGTCGTCGTTCCCAGGCGCGCGACGGCGCAGCTCGCGGCGGCGCAGCGCGGCGGCCGACCGACCTGTTTGCGTTTCTCAGGGCGCCGCCGCCGGAGCGTCATTATATACAAATCAAATGTCATTCACGGCGGCCTCGCTAATGTTGCGGAATGGATGGGCTTAGCGGCGCGACCGCGGGCCGCCGTGAAAGGCGCCGCGGGCGTCAGCCGCGCGCGGACTGGAGCGACCTCTCCTCTCTCTCGGCCGGCCGGGGTCGCGAGAACGGCGACACCGCTCGTCCCAACGGCCACCTGACGGGCGCGGGTAAAAACGATCGACGTGACCGGCATAGCGGCGCGGCGCGACCTTCGGCCGCCGTCACGTCCCGGGCGGTTCCGTCATGTCCGCCGACCGTCGTCCGGCGCGGACATGACGGTCGTCGGCTCGTCAGCGGCCGACCGCGCAGCCGGTCCGGCTCCGGCGCCGGGTCCGCTCAGGGGCCCGGGCCGAGGAATGTCCCGGCCACGTCCGATTCGTGCCCGCCTCGGCCCAATTATCGAGTCATCTCGCCGGCGTCGGCGCCCGACACCTGTTGTCCGCGGGGACGACGCGTTATCGGGGCAGAATTTAAGGGTGACGGGGAATCTCAGCCGGCCCTGTCGCTACGTGTCCACTGGATGGGGCCCGTTATTTCCTAGCTGCTCCAAAGGGCTATTATCGATTTCCTTCAGAGGCCGTTGTGTTGTCACGTTCGACAAAAATGCGAGACATATGTCGTGAAACTGGACGGGTCAGGTCACACGACCTGTTTGCCTTGTAATTAACCACGCCATCGCCTGGCCGCCATCCCGGGGCTGTCACCGCAAACTCGTCCCGACAGTCGACATTCCCGGCGCGTCCCCGCCCGTCACACGCCCCCGTTCCGGCACTCGGCGCTGGTCGCCGCGCCCAGATGAAACGACCGCGTGTCGAAACGGCTCATCTCCATTGCCGAGACACTGCAGCGGCGGAGCGCCCTGCGCAGCGGCGAATGCGGCGCAGCCGGCCAAGGTCGCCGTGTCACCTTCTGTCCCCCCCCCTCCCCCCCTCCCCCCCCTTCTCCCTCGGTCACCAGCTGAGCGATGACTGGCGCTCCGGAAACAACCGGGTGGCAGAAATTCGGTGCGGGCGGCTCCGCACTCGGCACATGCACCGTCACCGACCCGCCCACAGCCAGTGGAGAGGACGGCAATGGTGAACCTCCCCGAGGAGAGCAGGCATGACGCGCAGCCGCCGGAGCGATCATCTTTCAAGGGCCACCTGTTAAAACTGGGCCAATTTCATCGAAACTTGGTGTGACCGCTGCCACGCCAGGCGTGGGGCAAGGCGGATAGTCTGCTCGTCGGAGCTCGACAGGTGGCACCTGACGTCCACCCGCGCCGTGTGTGGCTGGCCGTCTGCGCGTGGCTCACCTCTGGGCCGCTGGCCGTCGGAGGACGTCGCCCTCTGTCACAGCCGGCCGCTTGCGAGGGCACAATGCGACAGGACGGCGCGCCGCCCAGCGCCGGCTGACACCCTGCGTCCCCATCTCGCCCCGTCGCCGCCGCCCCATTGTGAGCGGACCCCACCTGTCGACGCTGACCCGGCTCGGCCATGTCGGGCCGCCGACACCCGATACGCCAGCCCGACATGTCGGAATGCGTCCGGCCGGCGCGCGAGCTCCAGACGCCCGCCCGCCAGAGCGCTCGGTCGGGCGAGAGCGACGCTGGCGGCCGGTCGTCGGCGTGTCGCCGGCGCGCGGCCGCCCGTTTGAAGTCCCGGCCGGGGACGGCCGAACTGTCAGCCGTCTCTAACCGGCGCACCCGGCTATTCTTCCGTCTAGCCGTTGGTGCTCCCATTAGTCAGTCAAACGTGCCGGTCAGCCCAGTCACCCGCTCCGGGTGTGCGCTCGTCGGTTTGTCCGGATACCTGCCCATCCATCCGTGCCTTTGGATGTCCGTCCGTCCGCTAGTGTGCGCGCCGGCCGACCTGACCGGGTCGCCGGCCGACGAGCGGCGGCCAGACCTGGTCCATTAGCCCCGTTCCGGCCGCCGACTGCTGACGGCGTCGGGCGCCGGTGGATGGTACGGTCCGGATTGTTCTCGGCGGCCGGCGTCGTCAGCTGCCACGCAGCGTAGCTGGCAGCGGTCTCCGGCCGGGCCGGCGGTCAGCCGGTCACACCCGCGGACCTCGCCCGGCACGGTACCGACACGAGACCGGCGGCTGGGCCGGCGGAGCCGCGGATGGTTCGGAGGGCAGCTCACACCCGCGGCCGTCGCCCGGCGGCTGGGCCGGCAGGGCCGTGGACGGTTCGGAGGGCAGCTCACATCCGCGGCCCTCGTCCGGCGCGGTGCGGACACGGGACCGGCGGCTGGCTCGGCGGAGCCGTGGACGGTCCGGAGGGCGACTCCGGAAGGACGGCAGGTTCATGGATGACGTCACAGACGTCATTAAATCATTAAAGGCGGCGGGAATGGCTTTTTCCGGTTGTCCTCTGAGTCATATGAATGTGCAGAAGTGACTCGTTTTAGATCATCCTGCATTAGAGCAGCGAGCTTGCTTTAGATGACTCTGCATTGCAACCGCGAGTTTACTTAAGGTGATCCTGCAGTGCAACAGTGGTTTTCACCGCGGGAGAATCGTCCAAAAAAGATTGTTTGGCGAGGCCACTGGAATGAAGATTTCTCAATGGGAAAGTATCAAAGTGATCGCAGCTTGACCGGACGCCGGCTTGCTCGCTGCAGCACCAGCCACAACACACGCCCCGTACATCCTGGCGAGTGACTCACAAAGCTGCTACGCTGCCCGCGATGTGTTGTAGCCTGCTGCGTGGTTGCACTCGGCGCACTGTTTCGGACGGAGTTGCGGTTTCCGCCGCACAGCTGACATGGAAGGGTGACTCACCCGGCAGGACCGCCTGGAGGAAAGATAGGGCTCCAGTGGGCTTCGCCAAATATTTAGCCGTTGTCGGATTACCGTTTGATATTGTAAGTGCTAGCATGATTTTTGTCCAGTTTTGATCATTCCGCAAAGATTTTGCGTTGTTTGACAGCATACCAGGAATTGGAAAAGTTTGCGGCTTTCCCATAATTCTGTCGTTTTCCACGCAACTTTTTAATGACACTTAAGCGCAGTACGTGGTGATATTTCTTACTTGGAGCTTCTGTTCTTATATATAAGCTGGTCACGCAGCGTCCGTGAAAGCGTAGGGCACATGGATACATCGTTGGGCCGAATGTCAAAGTTTGTATATCCGAACGAGGATCTTACTTGGCGTTCGAAACACGAAGGACTAAACACAGATAATATGCGCTCATCGGCTACAAAACCCATTTCCGGTTGTACGTTCGGAACATCCCTCTTTTGGGAAAACTGCCGCACCGAGCCGTGAGCACAGCGACCGTGCTACAGCGCCGGGTGTGTGACGACCACCTATCTGTGCGATTAGGGTCATGTCCATCGCAGCCTTATAATGCGCGAAGTAAAACGACGAAGACATTGCGTGGTGTTTAATCTCATGTGAAGTAGAACGCATGATGCAAGCGTTCTACTTCCAAAGCCTGCCCGTCCGGGAGGTCAGGTCGGACTTCTCGTCACGAAACGGACGTGACTGAACGCCGTTCCGAGCCCACGCACTGTCTACCAGATCCGGGACGTGTCGGGTCTGGTGGACGAGAAGTGACCTCTCTGGTGGCCACTTGTGGTCACAAAGGTGACCTTTCTCACGCCGCAGGACCCCTCTCATCACCGAGCATCGGTGCGATCAGGGTTCTAGGGCACTTTAGCCGGCGGAGTTACACTGCGTCTCGATGATTGCACTGCGGCCGCGGCCACCCTGAGTGCCTCACCACCCCGTGCTATTCCTGCTCGGGACAGCCAGCCGCATCACTGAACGCTGCCACCCTGAGCGCCACACTGCCCTGTGCCATCCCTGCTCGGGACAGCCAACCGCATCACCGACCACTGCCACCCTGAGCGCCGCACCAACCCGTGCCATCCCCGCTCGGGACAGCCAACCGCATCACCGACCACTGCCACCCTGAGCGCCGCACCAACCCGTGCCATCCCCGCACGGGACAGCCAGCCGCATCACTGACCTCGCTCGTCTCTCCGCAGGCAGAGGAGCTGAACACGATCGTGGGCAACGCGTTCCGAATGGCGTATGCGGCGCGCCTGCAGCGATCCTGCCTGGCAGGGCCGGGCAGCGCCGGCGACGACTCCGCCTGGGAGATGGAGAGCCGCAACAACCACGACAAGACCAACAACCGCACCTGGGTGAGTGCCTACCGGCGGTGGGGCGGGCAGAGGGGGAGGGGGGGCACCTGGCGCGGAGTCGTAGTACCCGTAGAGGACTTGGCCACTGCAACTCGTCGTGGATATGTAGAGGAGTCGAGGGCTCGTGGATGAAGAAGATGGAATGCTGAAGCTTTGTGTGCGCTACGAGCCATTCTACACGACCTTGCCCGGATGTTAAGACGAGCCGTTAAGACGAGCCGTTTTTGGAAAACGGCCAACCAGTAAGAACCAATCGGATCCAGGCGAATGCCTCGGGACTCTTCTTCATCTTCTTAGCCACAAGATGTTGCAGTGCGAAATCGGACAGCGAAACAACTATGTGTGCAAGCATGCATCCCAGTTTTGTCTGGCCTGCAAGGAATGCAGACGGTCTTCTGCAGCACTGCGTGCATGCAACTGAACATGCCAAGCCGTGCAGGTGGCGGGGGCCTTCAGAGTGGATCTCGTAGGGCTTCATGCGGCGTCTGGAAACCGAGATGTGCAAGGATCTCGAACAAGGCCGAGACAAAACCGCAGGGCTTAAGCCCCGCCGAGGGCTCCTTCGCCGGTTCAAAGAAACGTGTTGGTGCAGCGCGTGATTCGCGCGCCGTCGCTACTACAGAACGGGCTGGCAGCGACTCGTATTCCAAGGCTGGCCCGCTCTAAAGCACTCGTCAGACATGTCCGGGCCCATCATCGCAGCATGGCATGCCTCGACTAATATGTGCGCCATGTCTCCGCCGAAAACGACAGGAGCCACTACACCACCAAATGCGCGGCGCCGGCGCTTTCACACCGGCGCATCCCGCGGCACCTGCCGTCCTGTTCGCTCCAGTGGACCCGAACCGCGAGCCTCCAGCACACTGGTGCATCCCGCGGTCGCAGTTCACTCCAGCCGATCCGAGCCGCGAGCCTCCAGCACACCAGTGCATTCACGGCCGCCGTTCACTCCAGCCGACCTGAGCCGCGAGCCCCCAGCTCGGCTCGAGCCTGGCTCTTCGTTCCGTGATCAGAGCTGCTGGCCAGACCACATAGGGCCCCTCAGGCGGTCTGGCTGCCGCGTTTGCGACACGGCGTTGCGACATTGGAGCCGAGCATTCCCAGACGGACGGCCGCGCGGTCGGCCCGGCCGTCGGCGCTCAGCCAGGCGGAAGATCTCGCCGGCGCCGCGGACGCCAGGTGGCGGGCCGCGCGGCGCACCCGCGGACCGGCTGTCGGACGTGATATCCGCGGCTGGACAGGCGCTGCCGTCGCTGGCCCGGTCGCCCGCGGACCGAGGAGGTGACAGCAACGGGACCACGCATCTTCAACGGACAGGCTATCGCCAAGCCTCGGTGGAAGTGTACAGAATGCGTCGAGGCTGAGCTTGGGATTTTATGGTCAAGCCTGGTCATACAGCCCGACAAGACTGGCATAAAAATGAGGAGCATTTTGACCGGCACGTGCCCGTTTATGGCGTGCCATCTCTCGCCCGAGGTGGAGTCAACGGTCAGTTTGTTTTAGCTGCGCCACTTGTTGGACGTGTCGGTCAGGTCAGGTGTGAGCAGGCCCACCAACCCTAACAGAGGTTGCCGCGATGAGCGAGCCGGCAGCCTCTGCTGTGTGTTAGACACCAGGCATGGTGCCGGCTGCTCAGTTCCGGCCTCCGATCACCCAGCCTCGGAAGAATGTTAAGCATTGCTAGGCCGCCCTTACCGCTGCCCGAGCCGAGCCACTCACATATCGGTGGTCATGCGTTTACCCTCACACCAGATCGTGTTTGTCTCCTTGTGCAACGGAAGCCCTGGAATTTTCCTCAAGCACAGACGGTACGCCTTTTGAAGAGCGCCTGTCAGCACTGAATGTATATCCGCGGGCCCCACAGCTCATCAGTCATGAAATAGCACCACCCAAACACAGGAAGTGTCTGAAAAGCTTCTGTCAGAAACCGCCTCTGTTCAAGTTAAGAAACACGTAATTGTTGTCGTGGAAACAGGAAAGTGAGACGGGTTGTGAAGTGAGAGCGTTTCAAAGTCTGGTTCGAGCTATGGTTTACAGCACACTATTATTTTGATGATGGCACTCCGGAACGACTGAGGAAGCCGATGTTTGGCATTACTTCTATCCGCACTATACCCATGTGGCACAAAAAGTTGGATCAGAATGGTTGGATAACACCTGAATTGGGGGAATATAACCATTTCAAGACCTGATGCTGCATGTTTGCCCACGATATTAGAGCAGCTTGACTAGACGCTCCTCCCAGAGTCGTTCATTCACTGACCTGGCCCGCCTCCTCCGCAGGGCCGGCGCTCCAAGCATCGCGAGCCTAGCCGACGCGAGCTGTCGCGGGGCAAAAACGTCAACCTGGCGAGTCCGGCGGCGGCGGCGCCGGCGGCGCCCGGCGCCCAGGAGCCGACCCGGCTGGCCGCCGAGCTACGCTGCCCCCTGCTGGCGGGCTACGTCAACGAGGCCGTGTCCACCACCGACTCGGAGTCGCGCTCGAGCGAGGGCGATGTGCGGCCGCTCTCGGCCGCCGGCCGCTCCGTGTCGGCCAGCAGCCAGAGGTGAGCGGCGCCGCGCGCCAACGGATCGCGGGCGGACCGCGTGGATGGCGCAGTGTCACCTTATCTCTTGGGTAGGCGTGCTGTTTTGCTCGCCGAGACATTTGACATTTCCAGTTTTGCGGATCATGTCGCCTTCGATGTTAAGTGAGCGATTATTGTCGTGTTATGCAGTGCACTTTTCAACAGGATCGCTTGCATTAGGTGCCACCAGGGCTCGAAGGTACCAGTTTTGAAGGGGCATTCTTGTGGTGTGCGGAACCGGTTTTATTGCGCCGCTTCTGTGTGGATCATCGAGTGCACGTGGTCGGTACAAGCCGCAAAGAGAAAAGCGACCGCGCCGCTCTAACCAGTCGGCCTGTCCTCAGCCTGCGAGAGGACACGAAGAGTTGCCACTGGTCGAGCGCCTCCAGCTCTGCCTCCGCGTCACATCACGCGGAGGGCACGAGCGGGGCCTCGACGCCGCTGCCGCCGCCCTACTACCAGCAGGGCCCCAGCCAGGAGCGGGTGGAGCTGCGCAGCGCCGCCTGGTTCCAGGCAGGCATACCGAGGTCAGTCGCGTGCCGACGGCATACTGCGTCCGCATACCGGGCCGACATACCGGGCGCATACACCGAACGAAATACTTTTTCAATCAGGCTCGGGCATTTCTGGCGAGCTTCAGAGGAAAGGCACACAACAGGATTTCAGTTATCGGTTGATGGGCTTCACGGCAGTGCACTGCTGGTGGACTTCGGGGTAGTGGCGTTTCTGTGGCTTCGGTGACCAGGGTCCGTGTTGTACTTCAGCAAGACAGGTGTTTGGAATTTTAACGCCGCTGCAGCTCGGTGGTAGGATGCATTTGTGGCATCGTCTACACGGTAAATACAGGATCCATACTCTGCTCGGAAACGGTCCTTACTGAGTGGAGTAGCCGCCGGCTGTGGGGCGAGATTATTGCTGCTGGGCCACCCACCACGCACCTGACGACGAGTTGTCACTACTGCTCTCCCGCCACGCGCCATAAGACATGCAGGCGGAGGCGGGCAATGTGGAGCGTTTGGTGTCGGTTTGCCTGACAATCTCCTCGTTTGTCCGCAGGGAGATCGCGCTCGAGGTGCTCTCCCAGGAGCCGGTGGGTGCCTTCATGGTGCGCGAGTCGACTACCAAGCACGGCTGCTACGCGCTCTCGCTGAGGGTGCCCCGCGACTTCCAGGTGTCGGGCATCGCCCACTACCTGATCCTTAAAACCGCCAAAGGATACAAGATCAAGGTACGAGCGAGCTGTTGTTGAGCTGTGCTGTGCCAGTGCCGTGCTGTGCTATGTCAGTACCGTGCTGTGCTGTGCTGTGCTTCGCTGGTCACTCGTGCGGGTACGGACATCATCAAGTTCGATCGCCATCGTATTGCAATTCGGGTTCACGTATTCCTGTCATTGATTTCGCCTGCGTAGTCCTAGGGATCATCGATATATTTCGTGCCACGGTAAGCTGTTCAAGGCGCCTACACATTCTGCAAAGCGGGGCGTCACCAGATGCGTGACTGGCCGGTGTCTAACGGCATCTGGGTTTGCAGGGCTTCATGAAGGAGTTCACCTCGCTGACGGCCCTGATTACGCACCACTCGGTGATGCCCGAGCTGCTGCCGTGCACGCTGTCGCTCAGCCGCTACAACCCCAACTTCGTGCGCTCCGAGTCGGCGCAGGACCTGGTCGAGCTCGACACGGACTCCGAGTACAACGGACTTAGTGAACTGTCGCGCGCCACCGCTGACACCAGCGTGTGAGACGGCCGCGACGCGGCGCTAGTGTCGCGCCGCCGGGGACGGGCGGCGTCCCCGGAGCCGGCGGCGGCCGTCCGGACAGTGACTGACTGTGCCCCGCGCGGCGGGCGGGCCGACCGGGCTGACCTGCGGTGACCTCAGGCCACCGGGGCCGATCAGACCGGACTCGCAGCCCGCTCCTGTGATACTAACGCTAGTTGTCCGATGCCGCACGCGTTGTAGGTAATCTGAGATACGTCTATTATTTATTGGTTGTGCGGCGGTTGTCTGCGCGGCTTCGACCTCGGCGCGGGAAACGACGATGGAGATTGAAGAGTCATCGACCGACCCGCGCTTATGATGTGTTTGCTTGAACGTGAACTGATTGAAATAAACCACTCGTAATACAGGTTGTATGCGCAGAAGCGACAACGGGACATAGTGCACGATAAAACGTTATCCCTGAGCCTAAACTGAGTGAATCGCTCAAGACACATCAATAATTCACGATTCAGTTCAAATTTAAAATATGCAATTCAATTTTTTTTCTATAATCCAAAGCTCCAAAACAATTCGAACCTTCTATTTACTGCTCATATTTGTTTTGATTAAGGCACGTTGCCGACACATGATACATCATCTCTCCTTTTTCCTGGTTGATTTATGAGGAGCAGGCTAACAACACTGCCTTATATATATATATATATATATATATATATATATATATATATGCATATATATATATACGCAACGTTCCCCGCAAATGCACTCAACAACTCACGTGATTCCCCCTTGTTGTTGGTGTTCGGCCAAACGGTCCCGTCAGATCCACGGCAACATGCTGTCACGGAGCTGTTGGCCGACTAGTTATCTCGAGCGGGGCTTTCAAACGCCGCCGAGGCTCGCTGGAGCGGGCACAAACCAAGCAGCTGCGGCAATGGTTCTTTACATTTAGATCCGACCCTGCCCACATGTACCCCGCTCGCAGCAACAAAACACGGGTCCTGTTCGCACCGAAATGACCGGATCTGTCGTGCTCGAAGGGGGGGGGGGGGGTACCCGAGCGGTCAGCCGCTCTAGAACCAGCAGGCACCATCCAGCAGTTCCAGGCCTTGCCGGTGCCACTGCTTGCAAGTGTTCCCTTCCGTCCTGCTGAACTGGAGCTCGTGATACAATTCTCGCAGCGGCTTGTCCGCCTGCTGCGCGCCCTTTAACTCCCCGACGCTGAGCTCCGCCGCAGTGTGAGCCGTGACGTCGGCGGGGGTGGGACGCGTCACCGTTGGAGTCGCATGAACATGGCCCGGGATAGCGCATCGGCGGGACGGGCGTGAGCACCTCGTCGATAGTGGGTAGTGAATTGAGATTTCTTAAAATCGATCCATCTGACATAACGTCCCCTGGGATGCCTGGTATCTCGTAGCCACTGGAGACCGCAATGATCCGTAAACCACTGGAACGGTTTGCCGAGCAGATAGGCACGAAACTTTCGAAGAGCAAAAATAAACGCAAAAACCTTCTTGTCAGGTCTATGTCAATTTTTCTCGCTGTCTCAAAACGTTTTCAAAGCAAAACAGGCAGTCGCCTCCATCAGCGTCCCGTTGCAAAAACATGCACCCAAAACCGATGCCTGATGCGTCTGTGCTAACTTCGAAGCCCTTCTGTATGTTCGGTACAAGGTACAAAATCGTGGCCTTGCATAGAGCATGTTCAAATCCCTCGAACTCCTGGTCTCCAAGTTCGTTCCACGAGAAACGGCCTTGTCAGAAACTGCGTGCAAGGGCGCGTTAGAAGCTTCAAGTCCGGTAGAAAATTCTCTACGAAGTCGCTGTAGTAGTTACACATGCCAGCAAGTGCAGGAAGCTGCCTCGTTGATTCCATTCGAGGCCAGTTTCTGATTGCCTCCACCTTATCAGGGTCGGGGTCCACGCCAAAGGCCGATACAATGTGTCCCAAGAACTTCATCTGGCGATGACAGGGCACAAGCTTCGAGCTTTTCACCGTCAATTTTGCTTGCCGAAGACGATGTAGGCCAGAGTGCAGTAGGGATAAATGTTCTAACACAGTTTGCCCACCCGTAATCATGCAGCATTTCCGACATCAGGCCTAGAGCAACCAAGAGCGCCCTTGGTAGAGAGCAGCATAACCAGAAATTCCCATCGTTTATCCTCCATGGTAAACGCGGTTCTCCCGGCCACTGGGAACTACGGGACTTGCCAGTATGCAAAGTTAAAGTCCGAAGTCATAAAAATATGCGAGCCCGCTGAACGGTCCAAACACTCTTTAACCGTCAGGAGGTACGCAACTTCATCGACTGCGTTGCGATTGAGTTCTCTAAAATCTACTGCGAGGCAATACAACCCATTCGACTTTTTACCCATCAAGATTGCCGGAGACCAGGGGGAGCTGGATGGCTGGATGATTCCACGAGCCTCCATCTCAGCGATCTGTCTCCTGACCTCGGGTCTCAAGTGATACAGAGTCCGTCGCGCTCGGACTGCCTCTGGAGAGCAATGTCCAGTGTTGATGGTGAGCTGGGCCAGATGCGTACATTCCAGCTTATCGTCGCTGTTTGCGAAAACGTCCCGATATCTGTCGAACAGCCTCCTAAGAACTAATCGATCCAGTTCAACTGCTTCGGTGCGCGACGGGCCACCCGAACCGGGCTTTCCGTGTGGGCGCTTCCCGCCAGCCGCTGCGGCCACCCGGTCGCCATACACTTCCCCCAGAACCGAGTTGGCATAAAGCTTCACTGGCTTCAAGCCAGCATTCTTCACTTGGATCAGTATCCTGTTGCCGACGGCGGAACGTGCAAAACAAGGAAAGGAAAGAAAGCGACCTCATACCGCTCCGCCTTGGAAATCTCAGGGCCAGATGCCACGTCACGTGCATTCTCATCGAAATCTACTTCTTTGACATCTACCACCCGTTCCGAGAAGGAATCCAAAATGTAGTCAGATGCCAGTCGCACGGCTATCGGCTGTGCTGGCGTCCCACCCCGCCTGGCCTCCAACTGGACACAACAGCCACCAATATCCAATATGCAATATCCAACAGACACCAAACAGCCCACCTTGCGAAATCGATGCTGAAAGTCTTAAATTTTCCCAGCATATCGGTGCCAAGTATCGCTGGAGCGGGCATTTTTTCTATCACTAGTGTACGAACGTGACTGAGCGATGCTGGCCAATAAGAATGCCCGCCCAAAATCTGGCGCACAAATCGCAGTTGTATGCCGTTCGCTCCGATGGGATGCTGTCCTGAGGGCGCCCGTGGCAGAGTGGGTATCCCGGGCAAAGCCACTGAAACACGGGTCACCACAGCACCGGTGTGCACTAACCACGTGCAGTCTGGCTTATCAATGCGACCCCTCTCTCGCAGCGAGCGAACTGCCGGCTGGTCAACTGACTGAATGGCCGAGCTGGGGCCTTTGGGGCGTGCCGATTCAGCCTCGGTTACCACCCGTCCCTCGCCAGTAACCCGTTTTAGTTTAAACCCATCGGGCAGTCATACTGGGTACGGCCAAATTCGTGGCACCTCCAGCAGACTGTCGGCATCGGCCGGCCTCGGCCTCGCCCTAATGGAGCACCAATACAGTCCTGCTGCATATGGCCCGGTGAGCTACAGGTCCAGCACGCTAGCTCCCTCCTTTTCCTGGGCCCGGCCCGTGCCGGCCGACCGGTCCACGTGGCACCCGGCTGCACCCCAGGCCCTTGCGCACCGCGGGCCCAACAGCGGGCCCGTGCTGCCCCACGCTGTGACGTCACAGCACCCCGGCGGGTCCAACCGCCACTCCTTGTGAGGGACCGCCGCCCTTCTCTCATTTTTGGCGCGCGTTAACCACGCGCGCCAATTCAGAAACCTCGCCCCGCAGCTGAGCGAGTTCACAGTCTTCATCTGCGATATGTTCTCTCACGTGTTGAACGGTGACGGATCGCAATGCCGACGATGAAATGGCTTCCACGCATTTAGCATAGTCCGGCAGTTTGTCGACGGCCATGTCCGGAAACAGAAGACGGATCTGAGATACTACCGCGGGGCTGATGCCGTCTAAGAAACAGCTTCCAGGCAAGGCATATGCCACCGTTACGCATGGAACTGACGAGTAGGTTTAACACAACGCTTAACGCTAAACACAACGTAACCAAAGGGAGAAGAGCGTTCACCCAGCGAAACCAGTGCGTGACCAGGTGAAGGGGTATTGAAATTGGTCAGAAGTGAAACAGCTCCGACGTCATCATCCCTGTGATGAAATCGTCGCTGGCTTAAAATGTGCTGCTGTTCGTGGTCAGAGCGGGAAGCTCCAACTCCGCGTGCCGCGCGTCAGTCGAAATCGATTCCGCGGGAACAGAAGCAATAAGTTTCCGCATGATCGAGAAACCCTATGCACGGCTGGAAAAGCCACCTGCCAACGCCAATAATACGTGGTCGGGCCCTGGGGCGCTCAGTAACAGAACTTCCGAGGCGCTGGGGCAAGTCGCTCACGTCTGTGCGTGATCCGGCGGCCACGAGGCTGACGATGCCCTGGTTGATCACGGATAGCGCAAGAGTGGAATCCTGATGCTAGCATACAACTAAGCGGGTGCGAAGCCTTTCAGGTCAAATTTCAACGTGCTGCTCTCATTGCCAGCAAAACTGACGCATCATTCCTTGTCACCAAAACGTCGCTACTGGTGCCACGATCACACCAAACACCGCTCGCTCATTCGCTTCCGCACTTTCCGTCCAAAGGCAGTGACAAAATACCGAGCTTTGTATTACCACCATATAGCATCAATATACATCCATTTACAGTAGCAATAATACAGACTGCTAACAAATGTAGACAATGGAATCTCCAGTATCACTGGGGGCGCTGCGGCAGGCATACGAGCCGCCCCACAAATCGGAAGACGAGGGAAGAGGAAGGCATCCGTTGGCGTGGCGTCCGACAGGCGGGCGGCCATTTTGACACAAGTTCCCAGGCCCAGCAGACGGCCCGGTCTCATCGGCTGCAGCAGCGCCGAGGCACGTGGTAACCAAGAAGAAGCATAACAATGTACTATCTTAAATAGCTAGACAAGATTCTGTGCGGGTTTCCGCATGGAAACACTCGCGATTCGGTACGCCGGTGTGCGCCGGACGCGCCACCCGCGACTGGGACGGTCGTCCCACCTCAAAACATACTTCTCGCGCAGATCATTCCGCCAGAACCACCCGGCATCACAGACACCCACTTGATCACTGAGGGCAAACCTCGACACGGACGACCAGGGGTCTTATGCGTGGTCCCCGGGCCACCCGCCACACCAGTCTGCGGCGGGTGACGCCATTCGGGCGTCGGGCGTCGCGGGACAGCCTCGCCCCAGCCGACGCCTCCCCTCTTCTCTTCCGCAGCCTCACTGCTGCGGTACGGACGCGTCCAGAGCAGCACGCCGCCGCCGGTGCTCCAGCCGCATCGCTTGTCACCAGCTCCCATGACGTCAGCGCCGGCTGAGCGGAGCCGAGCGCAGCGGTCCCGTTCCACCGGGCCCGGTCAGCGGCGGCGGCGGCGCCGGCGGATCACGGGGCCCCAAACACGGCCGACATGTTCTCCAGCAGCGCCTCGACCACGCGGTTCTGCTTCATCAGATCAAGCGCCAGGTCTGGCGAGTCTTGCTCGGGCCACATCAGCGTCGGCCCGAACACGATCGCCAGGTTGTGCGCGTGCATGCGGTTAAAGTCCTGCAGCTCAGTCACCCTGCGGAGAAAGACGCGCCACGTCTACACGCCCACCAACACATACGTCGAGCCGAAGCTCCGGCTGGCGGCGCCGGGGCACCAGGCAACGCCGGCTGACTCAGCATGCCGGCGTCGCCGCGCGCTGTCCCGGCACACTGCCGTCCCGCCCCCTTCCCTCTCCCCCCCCCCCCCCCAATCCGTGCAGACCCCACGGGCCGGACGCATCGAAGATACACATTACCGGGCCTCCCAAATCGCTGCCTGCCCACTCAAGTTGGGAACCTCTAACCGTTTGCTGACCTCACGCACCCTGACTAGTACTTAGGGGGGGGGGGGGGGCATAGCCACACGATTTTGTCCTTGAGTGGCGTGTAACATGACGCATGTCTGACGGTTTCCCTGCTGATCTGATTTCTGATGCTGATTTCCCTGCTGACGGTTTCCCTGCTGAACAGTTGCAATAAAAACAGCTTTCCTTTCGATCCGAGTGCAGGCGGCTGACGCCTCGCGGCGGACCGCCTGCCAGAAACCATCACAGCAATCGCTGTCTGTGTTTTAAATCGTCGCAGACACCGCATCGTTACGTGTGAGGAGCATGACCTCCACGAAACTTCAAGAAAGAAGGCGGAACGAGAAAATACATCACGAGTACCATCGCACGTGCCACCTGTCCGACGACCCGGCGCAAGACTCTCGCAGGTCCCATCCGTCCCACTCCCACAACCGGCATGGGTCCCACCGCGGTCCCTGCGCCATCGCCACACACCAGGCTGTACTCCAGACAGCCCCGGCCCGCCCCTGCTGCCGCGCTGTCGGCCGGCCTCACCTGCTCAGGTGGCCCAGCACGGCCCGCAGCGTGTCCCGGTTGCAGGCCGGCAGGTCGACCACCAGCGAGCGGAAGGCCGACACCTGCTCGGCGCGCGCCGGCAGCCCGGCCGCCCGCAGCGCCTCCGGCAGCAGCTCGAACGGCACCAGCGGTTCTTTCAGCTCGCGGAAGAACAGCTTGAGAGCGCCCGTCAGCACGTGCACGTCCTCCTCGTCCCAGAGCACCTGGTAGTTGTCCTGGTCCACCTGCCGCCCGGTCCCGGTGGTGAGGTGTGACAAGCGCGGGGGAGAGCCGATGAACATAAAGAGGGGAGAGGGAGGAGGTGACGGCAGCTGTCATCCCCTCTGGTTCGGCGGTAAGGCGCGGAAGGCGGGGGAGAGAGCGGAGGCACACAGACAGAGAGGGAACGGGAGGAGGCGACGGCAGCTGTCATCCCACTCGGAAGACGGAAAGCTATACGCTGACACGCGCACCGCACAATGTACGGGCGAGGCACGACATTAAGCCGAGAAGGAAGTCGTACAGTCTGGCTACCCACACAAGACACACAGCAAGCTTCAGCATTCGTGAGCAGCAAGGTTATGAGTGATGCTAAACTGGCGCTTTTTTAGCTGAGGTACCTAATCGTTTAGGCCAATTAACCTAGGAGTGACACAGACAAGCACGCTGCGATGCCGGTGGCTGTGTACAACACCGACCGCCGATCAGGACGCCCACGCTGGGAAAGACACGACCAACAGCAAACAGGGCCACGGCACCATGTGGGAACAAGCAATGTTGAGCCCAGCAAGACAGAACGCGATATGTCCCAACGAATGTCATTCAACCAAAGATTCAGCACACATACTACCCAAGCGCAAAGCCACCGCACGGCCGTACACAAATCGGGCCCTGTGGTAGTGCCACGACAGCAAAGTGGCGGCCATTCTCCACAGCATCGGATGCTGGCGGGGCCGCTGTGCAGCAGTGCATGGCCGGCGTCTAGTGGGCCGGGGCGCCGCAGCCTCACCTCGCAGCGCAGACGCTGCACCTGGCTCAGGTTGCCAGATGCCCGGTACACGCCGTCCATCTTCATGTACTCCGGCTTGGCCTCGATGGCCGACACGCACTCGCGCACGAAGCGCGGCACCGTGCTGCCCTCGGCCTCGCAGAGCGCCGCCAGGTGGCCGCCGAACACCGACTCGTCTGCGGAGAGCGCGGCCGGCCCGGTCACGCGGCGACGGCGCAGACACGGCGACCCGGCGCACAGCAGCAGTCGGCAGCAGGCCCGCACACACATCAGTCGGCGGCCATACACGCCCACGGCGCATACGGAGAGACGAGGCCACGTGACGTACCGTGTCGGCGGCACCTCCGGCCAGACGAGACACAAGTCGTAATACGACAAACAGACCCTTAATGCGGTCGAGCTTGATGGCAGCGGGACAATGCAACATATCGGCAGCCTTCTTTTCATTGGCGTTTCATCGAAGATCGATGCAATTATAGAAAATCTTACACATTTGAAGACATCGAGGCGATCATCAGATATGGTGAAATAAGCTCGCTTGTAACTAATGGTATACTTTTAAATACACAACACTGCTCAAGGCGACACAGTTTCACTACTTAGTGAATACGTTCATCAATACGTTATCGTTTGATTGCGTCACGGTACGTTCCTAAGACATCAGAGGGCCAGCCGAACTGGCCGTGCGAAATTCCTATGATAGCGGATGTCTGACTCACTTGCAGTACTTCACCTTCTCGAGAAGTGTCTTGGCATCGGTGCGTCATTGGCAGAGCCAAAATAGTCTAATGTGCGCGTGTTTTTGACCCTTTCTCTTGGTGTTCTTGCACATTAATCAGCAATTTCATATTGTTAACCTGTCTTCAGGTGCTCGGTTCCGGTGTTACCCATAAGTAATTCGATTATCAGTCTTATTTCTGTTACGACTGGTACCACTGTCCATCTCCCTTTATTAGGTAGCAAAGCACATGACCTCTTATCCTCTTCTCTTGTTTTAGCCTAATCCTCGCGACGCTCCACCTATCCGGGGCGGCCTATATGCGCCAGCCACGAGTGGGCCGAGAGCCCCGTGAGAAGGGGGACCCCGACCGGGCGCCCGGCGCACACCCTGAGGGGTTCCTGCGCGAGCTAAAGCTCGGCCATTGACCCACAAGCGCATGTAGTTCTGCCCCAAAATCATCTATTCTTTATCCAATAGCCCTGAAATGTTCATCTGTGGCCGAAAGGGCGCTAATCCAAACAACCAAACCAAAAATCGTGTCCAAACTTACAGCACTGCGTGCGTGACACTACTGTATAGGCAAATGATCTCCATTAGGGCCAGAAATCGTACTGATGTACGCCGCACGCCAATAACTCGACGATATTTATATTGGGTTCGAGCACTGCGTGGCCAATGGGGTGGAAGTATTTGCGGGACGTTTGTATGACGTCACGTAGGACTGGATAACCTTGGAAGTCTACACAAGCTCTCGGACGTCTAGATTCGAAACCAGAGGGTTCACTCTTAGGAAGGGCAGGGCCGTGCACAGCCCTGACTGATTTCCACAAGGTATGTCTCAGCCCAAAACCCCATACAAATGTGAAGCACTCCATTTCAGATTTCGTTCCGACTTAAGCTACAACGGGACTTTTGATGCAAGGATTCGGAGATTGTGAAGATGACAAGTAAGCCGCCATCACAACACACCGCAGTTATGTGGACGCCAGAGAGCCGGTATGTTGGGCGTCTGACGGGCGAGGTGCTGACGGGGGGGCCATCACGTGTAATGATATCAAAACAAGGGCGATTATGGCTCTTGGTAGCTTAACAAATAGGGGTCTTACCGTCGGTCATGACCGCCTTTCGTGGGTTCACAGGCAGATATGTTGACGGATGCAGCATTCACACACGAGCTCACAAACACCAATGCTCACAGCTCACAAACGCCAATGCACGGCAATTAGCTGGCTGCGGACCTAGCTTTGGAGTCGATGAAATGGACAACTTTACGTTGACCGAAGTTTGCATTATCCTTGAGGATTGACAAAAGCGCAGCAGTTCTGGGTCTATATCGAAAAAATCAATTTTGTCTACGCCTGCGCAGCTTTCGAGGATGCAATGGAGACCAGCCATACAAATTGAAGAATCAGGCCGCTCACTGTCAATTTGTGTCGAGCTTGTGGGGCCAGACAGTGCTGAACTGGCTCGGTAACAGGAAGACGATATAGTCGCCATCTACCCACCGTATCCCCATTTGCTGCGACTGCCACCGTCTCACGCCAACTTTACCAACTCCCAAAGCTGACGAGCCCGCCTATCGGGCGTGACCAGCTCCGAGCAGACGCGCTTACTTTGTGCTAACATCGAATACTCGAGATCTAAGTCCGGTTTTCACCTGAGCTGAGCTGATTTCCCGGGACAAATACATTTTCATGAGCCTATGTGGATAGCAGAGGAACTGTATCGTAACATTGCACGAAAATCGCGCAGAATCATGAGCCTATGTGGATAGCAGAGGAACAACATCGTAATATTGCACGAAAATCATACAGAATCAAATTATTTTGAAGTACATACCTCACAGCGGCTACAGTACAGCTTTAAAAATTTGATCCTTGATGCGCAGAGCTGCGTGGAGCTGTGATGAGTAGTGGATTTAAGACTATTAATTCGTACAGCACATTCCGGTCCGGCCAAAGTGGCACGCTCCGGATGAGAACTGAACCACGAGCAACCTACAGCCTCGCTCGTTATTTCCCAGAACGATTCTGTTAAGTTACGCTGATCGACAGCATTACAGGCTAGATGGCAATCTTGCGCATGCCATAACATTACATAACATTGTGCAGCATTACATGCTCGATGGCAATCTTGTGCATGCCATAACAATCGATGCAAAACAACTGAGACTAGACACGTCGGTGAAGCCACCGCTGCCGCGATGCGCCTGGTGTGACGCCTTACATGTGTGACCTTAGCAAATGTTTGAACAGTTTGTTTGTGTTTGAATGTTTGAAGCTACCTTGTGGTCATATCCTCGCACGCGTCCGTAACAGGATGGCATCAATGCCATTTTATCATCCGTAATCAGTTCCAAAGAATGGTTTTCATCACTGTGTGTGATCAATAACAGACGCACTAAAGCGATACCTAACCAGCATCGCCATAGTTACCGAAATCAAGCCGCTGCGCGTTGTGCTGCACCTAAGGCCATTGCCCTGCCCTCCATCTGTCCGCGTGTCTACCCCCGGCCGCTGCCCAGTCCAGCGAAATGACCCGTCATTTCCCGGGGACGCTCAGCACAGTGCGGGTGCGGGACCATCGCCGGTCGGACGGGCCGCACCGGCCAGCACGCCGCATCAGCCGTCTCTACACGTTGCCTGGGCGACCAGCCGGGCCTTCGCGGCGTCACCAGCGTGAACGGCGCCGAGCGTGGCCATGCCGGCGGCGGGACCGATGGGGCGACGCCGGACCTGACCGCTGACCCGTCCTCCACGTGGCCCCACATCCCGGACGGCGCGCACCCGTGACGGCCGCACCCGCACCCGCACCCGTCGCAGATGGCCAGCTCTGTCACAGCCCGGCTGTGACGGCCAGCCGGGCGAAAGGCGGCCGGCTCAGAACAACGCGTGACTTGCTGCGGCGCGTCAGCACAGGGTGTCCGTTGGACCAAACCTATTTTGTTGAGGTGATGGGGTCAAGGCCTCGGCAGCTATCTGCGCCTTGTAAGGACTGCCGCATCTCTCAAACATCCCTGCAAAACCTTCAGTCGCCAAGGACAGTGAAAACTGGATCTTCAGCCAGGCCAGCATGTGGTGCACGTGTTCCATGTACCACCGTCTCCCACTTCTAATCCCAACAAACCGTGCACTAATTCGATACATGCTCTAGACCCAACTCTCTCGCGCAGAATGGTTTAAAAACATAACTTAGGCGCAAAAGCCACGCGCAAACATAAGAGCTGGGTGCAGAAAAACACAGCAACCATAGTGACCAACCATTTTAGACCAGCCAACCAACCGACCATTTTAGCGGCGCGGAGCCCCGACCATCCTGCGGGAGGCGCCGCTCGTATTCTGGCCAGTGTGGCCAGCCTACATATCCGGTCTGTTTCAACAGAGCCGGAAGGAGACTACATGGACCGGCCGGTGCCGCCGCCGTGCCTGAGGAGCGCACCATCCGGGCGGCCGCCTCACCCCTCACCACCGCACCACCGCATGCTGAAACCCCCACCGCGCGCCGCACCCGCCGACCGCAGCACACCAGGAGCAGACAGATCGCCCTCCTCCACACACTGCATGCAGAGCAGGCGAGCACGCGGGCCGAGCCCGGAGCACACACGCACGAGCTGGGAGCGCCTCCGGCAGCGGCAGCACCCGTCGGACGTACCTTTCAGTATGCCGCGGCTGACCAGCGCGTCGGCCGGCGGGCGCGCGCGGAAAAACCGGCGCAGCCGATCGCGGATCGTGCTACTGTCCCTAGAAAGGTCCTCCTGGCTGCCGCTCACGGCGCCGTTGACTGGAAGGCGGCCACACCGGTTAGTGGAGCAAGCCGGCCAGCGCGCCGCGCGCGGCGGCAGGCGGGTTAGCCGAGCAAGCGCGCCGACGCCCGACCAGAGCGGGACGTATGTACAGCCCGGTTAAATGTTGTCAGCTGGCGTTAGAGGGCACGTCACAGAAAGCGGCAGGTCACGGGCGGCACAGCACGGAAACGGAGACAGAGAGAGCACCGGCCAGGCAGCGACGAGTCAGTGCACGTCCACCTATCAGAGACAACGCAGGAAGCTGTCACATAGTTGCCGCCGGACCGAGTGAGACTGACAGGAGCTTGAGGTGCTGTCGGTGGCACGGCCCCATCTGGTCATGGCGACGGTGACCTTCCCAGGTGACGACTGCGGCACCGCTATGTCCGCACACTGCCAATGACGGCAGTAATCGAATGGCTACGCGACGACTCCCGAGGCCACATGGTCGGACGTGGCGTAGCTTCGGACTGCCCCGGCCCTCACGACGCCACCAATGCATACGAGGCTATCGCCACAAAATGGCTCACTCGACTGGTGTTCTGGCGTACGCGCAATGCGCAACACAGATCGGCACTGGTAACAGATATTTGAAGACGAAACGCCACCTGCATGCGACAGCAACACATGCTGATTCCATGCAGAAGGTGAGAGGCTCGCACTATGGGTGAAGCTGACGGCCATTCTGAGCCTAAAAGTTGCACTACGGACCCAGACGCCATCGCTTCACATTACCGGCCAAGATGCTACCCTAAAAAACTGACAGCAAATATGCAGACTTCTACTGTATTTGAATCACATCAGCCAAAGGCCATGGTAAATTTGTTGTTTTGTTTGCGTTAGTATTCCAGCATGCAGGAGTTCATGTCTATTACCACGACCCACCTAAAACGCTTCCGCTGGCCACATACCGAATGACTTCCACAGCACAGCGAATCTTTTTAAACAAAGTGCCCAAAAATCAAGACTTCTCGGACCTTGTTTTCATGGATGTGTGGAACAACTGACTGGGTTGTTCCATACATCAGACCCAACAACACACAGCACGACTATCTCCCCGCTGCCCTAACACGCCCGACACACCCCGCCGAACCCGACACCAACGCACCGTCCACCTGGTCCCCTAGCCGTGCCCGTCCAGTCCGCCGCCCACTCCGGCCGCAGCCACCGGCCGGGCCACTCACAGCGAGCGGAGCGGGTGCGCGTCAGCCGGAGCTCCTCACGCGGCGCCGGCCGCTCCGGCGCCAGCAGGTGGTCCAGACCCTGCGGCATGCGCGCGATGGCGTCCCGGATGGCACCGTACCAGACGCCAGCCGTGGTCGAGTTCTCCTCCTGCAGCAGCAGCTGACGGCAGCGGGGCGAGGCGTCAGGGCACGGCGTTCGCACAGGTGATGGCGCCGCTGCGGTCTGACGCCGCACCGGGCGCCGCCGGACGGGACGGTGGGGAAGATGTGGACCGGATGGCAGCCAGGAGCAGTACATCGACGACAATCAACCAATACCAAGGGAGCGCCGGGACTGAATGCAAAGGGAGCGCAAGAGCCACATCGCCATTTCTATTCCAGACTGAGCTCCTTCCAACCACGTCCACAGGCGGCGTTTAGCACAGCCGAGCCCTGTGTACTCCAGTGACGGTGACACTGCCCGGACACGCCCGTGTCCGCAGCCGTGCCCGCCGTCGGCAGCGCGCGGCTGCAGCCGGGGCGGGGCGGGGCGACACTCACCTGGAGGCCGTGCACGGTGCACACCTCGAACACGTTCTTGCGCGAGGAGCGGTCGGGTCGCCAGGAGACGAGCGCGCCGGCCAGGTCCACCGACGTCTCTGGACTGTGACCGGCCGAGCCCCACTGCCGACGCACCGACCACGTCAAAGGGAGAGCGTGCGTCAAGGGCAGCGACGCGACTTCCTCGCGGCGGCACGGCAATGAGGACCCCGGACCACCATCGCGCCGATGAAGTCCACACTTCCTTACCCCGCCCCGCCATCTCCCGCCCGGTCTCTCTCTCTCTCTCTCTCTCTCTCTCTCTCCTCTCTTCTCTCTCTCTCTCTCTCTCTCTCTCTCTCTCTCTCTCTCTCCTCTCTCTCTCTCTCTCTCTCTCTCTCTCTCTCTCTCTCTCTCTCTCTCTCTCTCTCTCTCTCTCTCTCTCTCTCTCTCTCTCTCTCTCTCTCTCTCTCTCTCTCTCTCTCTCTCTCTCTCTCTCTCTCTCTCTCTCTCTCTCTCTCTCTCTCTCTCTCTCTCTCTCTCTCTCTCTCTCTCTCTCTCTCTCTCTCTCTCTCTCTCTCTCTCTCTCTCTCTCTCTCTCTCTCTCTCTCTCTCTCTCTCTCTCTCTCTCCTCTCTCTCTCTCTCTCTCTCTCTCTCTCTCTCTCTCTCTCTCTCTCTCTCTCTCTCTCTCTCTCTCTCTCTCTCTCTCTCTCTCTCTCTCTCTCTCTCTCTCTCTCTCTCTCTCTCTCTTTGCCACCGCCCTGCCGTACTAACACGACAGCGTGTGGAGACACCGGCGACAGATGAAAAGTGCTTCAGAATGGACCTGGCGCCTCCCGAACTGCGTGACGCCGTTGGAAAGCTACCTTCCGGAAGTATACCACCCACAGTCGGTCACAGTGGGGAGGCGACGGCAAGGTCCAACAAACATTTTCGCGAAACGGACCTGGGCGTCCAACACCGCCACTGCGACACATATCCATCGCGCAAACAAGGCAGCACTGCCAATACCATCTCGCACTGCCCGACCTATCCGTCCACCGCACACACCCCGCTCCCAGCGGCGTCCCCCTCCCCCCCCCCCACGGTCGGAGCGTGACGCCGTGACGCCGCCGCCGCTCACCATGCCGGCGGCGCCCTTGACGTCCTTGAAGAGCAGCAGGTAGCGGTCCGTGAGCACCACGTGGCAGGGCGCCCAGTTCTTGCGCACCCGCCGGGACGTCTCTGTGGCCACCTTGGTCCGGTTCAGCGTGCCCTGTCGGCAGCAGGAGACGGCGTCTGGGGACGGACACAACGACGCCGGGGGAGCCTGGCGATGCTGACAGCATGACAAAGTCAGGCCTTTCGAGGGGAGAACATGACAGTCAGGCCTTTAGAGGGTAGAACATCACAAAGTCAGGCCTTTCGAAGGGAAAAGTGACAAAGTTAGGTCTTTCGAGGGGACGAAGTGACAAAGTCAGACATTTGGAGGTGACAAAGTGACAAGGACAAGCATTTCGAGATGACAAAATGACAAAGCCAGGCATTTCGAGGTAACGAAGTGACAAGGTCAAGCATTTCAAGGTGACAAAATGACAAAGTCAGGCCTTTCGAGATAATGAAGTGACAAGGTCAGGCCTTTTGTGGGAACAGTGACAAAGTCAGGCCTTCGAGGTGACAATGTGACAAGGTCAGGCCTCCCGAGGGGACAAAGTGGCAAAGTCGGACCTTTCGTGGGACCAACTGACAAAGTCAAGCCTATCGAGGGACAAACTGACAAAGTTAGGCTTTTCGAGGGGGCAGTGATTATTTGCACATCTCGCTCATTTTTGCATTTTTTCAAGGCACTGCACAGTCTGGTTCCTTGCGTTCATACATGAGGGGTACCTCATCCAAAGGGCATTCAACCAGACTTCGTACCCAGGGAATATCGCGGACTTAGTCCAAGGGCACCCGAGCCGAACAAGCAGGAACTACCGCGGCTGATCATTGTATATGCCTCAGCTAGCAACAGCCAGAGAGCCAACCCGGCACGAAGCGGCCGTGTCTTAGCATCAGATGGCGAGAAAATGTCCCCTCAGGTTCTGCCCTACACCAAGACACCAAGAGACCAAATGACCTCATAAAACGGCATGCAACTATATCCTGAGTTAGCAGTCCAGGCGTGCCTATCGTGTCTTTGGCTATCAGAGCCGCTGGCGCAGGCTAAACCACACTTAAAAACACAAGTCAATCCAAACACAACACAACCAAATAATGGCCTCAGCCCTGTTGTTCTCAGCAACGGTGTGACAAGAATCATACTACTCCGCTCAAGAATAGTATGACTTCGGAATAAGAATGATCACAGATGGAAATGGAATCGCATTCGTAGTTTTACTCCACCTGCCATTCCGACCAACACAATTTTTTAGACCCATACTCGATACTTTGTGAAGGGGTGTATCGAATATCTCACGTCGGTTGCGCATACCAATAACGCCTCTGCGCAACACCGGAACGATTTCCAATCCGGATGTTCGGCAGAGACCATGTTGCAGGGATAACGGTGCCCGCTACACACAGTACTGGAACATAAGTGCCCGCTCCACGCTAAGCACGAACAAGAGAGCTCGCTCCACGCTTCACTGGAGGAAGAGTGCCCGTTGCACACTACACTGACCATGGCGATGGCTATGACACCTGGCCGCAGGCGGGCGCCGCCGGTCATCACGGCAACACACGCCTCACACCAGACGGACCACAGCCCCGGGCCAGCGGCCGGCATCTCTGCCTCGACCGGTGCAGAGTACCAGCTGACCGGCCGGCGACGGCGGCCGCTCAGACCGCTCCGGCCGGAGACCCCGCACAGCGGTTCACTGTAGGTCACTCAGCGATCCCCGGTGCACTGTCAATCACGCGCCGGCCCCGGTCCACTCTCGGTCACCCAGCGGCCCCGGTCCACTGTACGTCACCCAGCGGCCCCGGTCCACTGTCGGTCACCCAGCGGCCCCGGTCCACTCTCGGTCACTCGGAGGCCCCGGTCCACTGTCGGTCACCCCGCGGCCCCGGTCCAATGCACGTCACCCAGCGGCCCCGGTCCACCCTCGATCACCCAGCGGCCCCGGTGCACTGTCGGTCACTCGGCGGCCCTGGTCCACTGTCGGTCACCCAGCGGCCCCGATCCACTGTCGGTCACCCAGCGGTGGGTCCCCGGCCGGTCACAAGTCGGTGCCGGGTCCCGCGACACTGGCGACGGCGCTCAGAGCGCGAACCAGCGTCGGAGGGCCACGGCACTCCGGGGTGACATCACAGCCGCGGGTCAGGAGTGAGTCACTGGGGCCGACACACCGGGCCCGGGAAGGATACGGGACCCGTCCGGCCAGCAGAGTCATGATGTTCCGGCGGATGCAAGGCACGCAGCGCCCTCCGTCCCCGACCACGAACCGATCGCAGTGAAAGCATTCTGGGACCTTATTTGGTCTTCATAAAGCTGCACACATTAGTCGCTTCTGGTGACCAGGCGGCTACGTAATTGCGTTCCACTTGGTCCGCCCAGAAATTGCCGGATGACTGGCTATCGTTGCATATACTTGCTAGTAACTTTCTGTCGATGATGACGGCTGACTGGGCTCACTGAACTATTCACTGATGATTGGGTTTACTGAACTAAGGCCTCAACAAACAACAAATATTAACAAGAATCTGTTCCAGTCAACACGCGGCGCTGCGGTCAACAAAATGTTTGTTAACCGCAGCGCCGCTTCCGACTCAACAGGTTGCAGAGTTGATTCCGACAGAACTAAAAACGCCTGCTCTCAATGCACACCGCATTTGGTGCTGAAGTACGAGCAATGAGTGTTGATTAGCCGAAACATACACGCTCAACGAACACCGGAGGCGGCAGACACGGGGGCAATCTGACCAGCCCGCTGAGGTTCCAGTGTCATTACCAACAATGGCGGCCAGCTGTCTGAAGCCGGCGCCGGCAGCCATCGTCCATCCGCCGATATATTAACTCAATCCATGGAACACGTCAACCCCCTGACAACCACTCAGGTCGCAGGTGGCGGTCTTTGGGGGAATGTCTCAAATTCTTGGGAACTTCCGTAAAAAAAAACAATTCAGCATAATACCGATTGGCAAAACGGCTCTTCAATCCCATCGACCTCATCAGTTTTGTCACCTGCAGAAATGCTGCGGTGGTATCCTATGATTCCATACCCAATGGGCAGGAACAAAAGAGGGTGCAAGTAGCCCAGTGCGTGACTTGTAAACTCCATTGGATGCTGTCGCGTTGTACCCGCCAAAAGGCGTCAAGCTTGCTCAAATCACGTTTTCGCCGACTATAGGTAACTTTGGAAATGTTCAAGATGTGGAGTCGATGCCAGTCAAAGTGTGCGACTTTTCACTTCTAAGGTGCCAGGTGAGATCACCTGAGGTTATTGTGTGACCTTCCATGACCTTGACCTTAAATGACGCTACGCTTACGATCTTCATGCGCGAGGACATATACCTATGAGTACAACATGACATATCTACTACCGCACGACGCTGTTCATCTGACCCAACCTGTTACTTACCTAGTCGTCGACTTTTCGGGCATTTCGACTGCGCAGTCATACAACATCCATACGACCTGACCTCGCGTGACCTTGACCTCCAATGACCAAATAATTGCCACTGACATCAAACTATGGGCCAAGATAGGACGGGTCTACAGGCCAATCTGACGTAACTTTTTCCATATCTGGTAGGTAAGCTTGACTTCGACATTTGAACGACCCTAGAAAAGGCCAGGAGCATCGGTAATGTTTGCGATAACGTCTCGTGCCGTCTGTACATCCCATAACGTCTTCAACACCCATGGACCAGGTTTGGGCCCAGCCGAGCCTAGAATGCGCCGAGGCGAGTCCAATTTTAACGTGTTCACCACGCAGATCTGGCCCAGACTTCTGGCCCAGACTTCTGGCCCAGAGAACTGGGCCAGAAGTCGATGACATGACATCCGGCGTAAAAAGGCTCGACGGTCGGCCACTAAACAGTCCGCTAGATGGCCTGAGAGGACGTCATAATGCAGGTGCGATGCGCTGGCTGATTCAGTCGCCAATCAGTCTGATCTATTGCGTCCTTTTTTTCCATGTCCCCTAAAGAGACTTCCCAGTAGGACACGAATGTTGCACAACCAGCCGTTTCTGTCATATATGTCTACGCCAACTCCGTTCCAGACACGGGGAAAGAGGTGAAAGAGAAAGGAGAGGAGAAAAAGAAAACCGCGCACTGGGGTTTTATCATCTAGAAGATTGCTTTACACAATGGGTGCAAAATAACCGTCACAGCCAGAGTTCATGAACTCTTAACAACTGGCAACATTCGTAAATAAGTAGAATACCAACAATATTCGGTGAAAAGAGGTGTATCAATGCGTTAGAGCTGATCATCAATATGCCAACTATTACCAAAGTACAATGGCTCATAAAAACACAAAGAAAGCCTAAAAACACCAGCTGCCGTGTCTTGTATTCCAAGGTGACTGGCACCAGACACCATGCGTCATGACTGTTCAAATGCTCTGTCCGTCTCCACGTAACGCCGCCAGACTGAAGCCTAATTGTCGTCGCGCATGACGTGCTTATCGAAGCAGCTAGTGCGTTACAACATAACTCTAGTTCTGTCGCAGGCGCCGCTCTCACCCACCGAGTGCGATGCCTACATTAGGACTCTAGCAGCTCCTGGTGTAATACGGTGAAGGAGCGAATTAAAAGTACAGCGAGGTGGTGCGCCAGGAGCTTACTTTGACACGGCCCTGGGCAGGCGGCATGGCAAGCCGTCCCCGGTTGCCTTCATCTGCCGGGTAGACACCGACCGAGGAGCTCGCTGCAGGAGGATCTGACACAGAGTCGCCCCACCTGCAGCGACCAGCATCCGAGCTCGCCGCGCCGTCGAGCTGGTGCTCCCGCGGCCGCTCTGACCAGGCGTGGGAGGCCCAGCAGCGCTCACCTGGTGCAGGATGGTGTGCGTCTGATCGCCGGCGAACACGCGGGGTCGGCCGGCGCCGGGCGCCGGCGGCACCAGCAGCGAGCGGCCCCCGCTGGCTGCGGCCCGCCTGGCGCACGTACGGCGGGAATGGGCAGCGGCGGCGGCGCCGGCCCGCCCAGCCGCGCCGTCGCCCTCCTACCGGGCAGAGGGCCGCACGTCAGAGGGGCGCCGCCACCGCCTGGACGGCTGCGGCGCTGGGAGCGGGCCACGGGCCGACAGGCGGACACCGGGGAGCCATCCGGCGGGCAGAGGGCCGCACGTCAGAGGGGCACCGCCGCCGCCCGGACGGCTGCAGCGCTGGGAGCGGGCCACGGGCCAACAAGCGGACACCGGGGAGCCATCCGGCGGGCAAAGGGCCGTACGTCAGAGGAGCGCCGCCGCCGCCCGGACGGACGCGGCGCTGGGAGCCGGTCACCGGCCGACAGGCGGACACCAGGGGAGACATCCGGCGGGCAGAGGGCCGCACGTCAGAGGGGCGCCGCCGCCGCCCGGACGGACGGACGGGGCACTCGGAGCCGGTTACGGGCCGACAGGACGCCAGGGGCGTCATCTGGCGGGCGCGGCAGGCACACGGGCAGGCGACGCGGCGCACTGGCCCGACACATTACACACCAGAAGAGGGACTAGGCCGACTTCGGAAACGGGGACACACCAGCCAGCAGCTGTTCGCAGCGGGGAAATGCCACGAGCTGCAAGGCAGTTTGTGAAATGCGAGCAGACATGGGGGATATCAGATGCGAGGGCAACTAAACCGGCCCACAACAGCGAACCCAAGACTACTACTGACCTTGTCTTTGGCATTCTGACTAGTTCCATCGTCGACAGACGGCAGGGCCCAGTAAGAGGACGTACCGCCCTCCTCGAAAAATACACATGCCCGTCCTCGTTCTGATTGCTGTACCACTGCGGAACAGAGGAGAGCACGGACTCGGTCACGACGGCCAGCAACTCCAAACGAACGGGGACAGGGAGACCAAGAAAAGTGCTCACGTGTTGGCTTTAGAGCCTGAAGTACTAGAGCTCTCCAGGACTTTCTCTTAGAGAATGTGTTGGTAACTGTAACGTATTACAATGTACACGCTCCTGAAATGAGATCAGTTGCAACAGCATGACAAAAAACAACACGAAACAAAGAGAAAGACAAACAGAATGATGACATGAAAGATGGGCACCATTTGCATTCTAAACCTGCCACGCTTACAGAAAAAGCATGCATGTCGGAACCATTCCGCACAGTAGCATTCGAGCCCCTTCCACGGGTCCTAGCATACCGCTGTCGCCCTGGTCAACACCGCGCCGCTATTGCTGTGAAGCAGGGCCCACCTCGCGATGACACCCGCCGCCACCCGCGCCGGGGCCTTGGCGGCGGGCCACCTACCCGGGCCGTCTGTCGTGTCAGCCCGGCGGCGGGCCGGCCGCGGCGCGCGCTGGCCAAGCCCTGCTCAATCTGGCCGATCCGCTGGCGGACCGAGACGGCCTGCAGCGCCGCCGCGTCGCTGGCGCTTCTCTCTCGGCCGCCCTCCTCCGGCGCCGACGGCGGCGGCAGAGGCGTCTGTACCGGCGCCTCGGGCTGCGGCGCGGCCACGTCTGGCGACGGCGCCTCCTCGGACGGCGACGCCTCGCCGGGCGGCAGCGAGACGCGAGCCACCTTGGCCGGTGCCTCGTCGGTGGGCGAGTGCAGCGCAGTGTGGAAAGAGTCGTCGCTGGACGAGCTGAAGCCGTGCGACAGCCGCGCCGTCCGGCTGCGGCGCTTAAGCGGCGCCTCTGTGCCGCTTCGAGGGCTCGCCGGCTCGTCCGCCGCGCCGTGCCGCTGCACGGGAGCCTCGGCGTCGCTGTACCGCTTCAGATGAACCTCCGCTCCACTGTGCCGCTTAAAGGGCTGCTCCGCCCCGCTGTGTCGCTTCAAAGCCTCCTCCATCCCGCTGTACCGCTTCAGAATCGCCTCTGCCCCGCTGTGACGCCTGAGCGTTTCGTCCGACCTTCTACGGCGCCCCAAAACCTCCTCCTCTCCACTGTGTCGCTTGGGCAGCTTCTCTAGTCCAGTGCGCCGCCTGCGCGTGTGCTCTGGCTCGCCGAGTCGCTCCGGCGTCCGCGCGTGGCCACGCAGAAGAACCTCATCTTCGCCCCAAACTTCGTCTGGCTCGCGCCAAACGCCGCCGTCCACGTCCCACTCGGACCGGCTCCTAACTGGACTGGCCGGCCGGCCGTCGTCCGCCCGGATCGTCATCAGCGAGAGGTTGACGATGTGCGCCATTTGATCGCTGGCGCGGCGCCGCCGCTGCCGCCTCTCGACCGCCGCCGTCTCACCGCGCACCTCCGCCATCGCGCTCGCACTGCACTCGCCGCCGCTAGCCGGCGACAACCACAGGAAGCCGGCGATAGCGAGTGTGCGGCGCGGCGACGAAGGCGCCGCCGGCGGCCGCCGCTTCCACTCACCTGTCGCAGTCCGAACTCTGACAAGCAGGCCAGCCTGGTCTCGGACGAGGAGCGGCGCGCGGCCAGGTGCCGGCGCGCCGCCGAGCGCAGCATGACGTCATCGTCGCACATGGTGGCCGGCCGGGCTGTGAGCGGGCGTCAGGAGGCGACCGCGCTGCCGCCGGCACGCCGTACTTCCGCCAGCGGCGACGCCAGGCGGCCGTTGACGGCGGCGGCGGACTGAGCGCGGCCCGGGGCCTCAGTAATCCGCCGGCGGGCGCCGCCGTTGCCCCGCCGGCTATCGCGCGCGTCCGGGAAGCGTGCGGTCAGCGGGGCGTCCGGCGCCTCGAGGTCGGCCGGCCGCAGGGCGTCGCGGCGGTCGGCGCAGATGGCGCGACGTCGACGGCTGCCGGCGAGAGCCGTCCACTTCCAGCCGGAGCTCGGCCAAGCGGACGGCGAGTGGATCGCCGCAGGCTGGCGACGCGGGTTGGATCTGGTTGTTCCAAGGAGGAAATCGAGACGGTGAGCTCACTTCTGAGATGATCTCATTCTTCGAGGACGTGTTGTTTTTGCTGCAGCGGTCTTCTGCCTCCTCTTCCGCCGCTTCTTCATGCATAATGGTAGCAATAGACGTACGTCCGACATACAGTGACTTGTCGATATCAGACCCTCTCCGACACTGTGGACTTTAATTAATGCCACACGGTCCACTGTTGAGTTCCAAATTCGAATGCAATGCTGTGAGCTCCAAAATTCACTAGATTTTGGCACAAATACCCTGTGCAGGTGAGTTCAGTTTGAAATTTGTCAAAGCTTTAACTCACCTGAAGAGGGCGTGTCTACTGAAATGCGGTGAATTTTACGGATTATTGTATTTCATTCTAATGTGAGCACGCAGTAAATAGCGTACCGTGTATATGTGTTTTCGTGTATACTTTCTGTAACAAAAAATGTTCCGAAGCTGGGCAAAAGCTTACAGCCTATTCAAGGACGCTTCGAAGCCCACCCTGACACTACTTATGGCTAGATCTGACTTTACCTAGGTGCTTACCTTTACCTGACCATGTAGTGTTTGTAACGGAGCGACGCTTACCTAGTTAACATTGGCTTGAGGAGGTGATTCGAATGTGAAAGGATCAGAGACATGCGCCTAAAATCCTTTCCACACAGGCCAGTTACGCGAGCAATGTGGCCCACGCTTTGAAGAGACAGCACCCGGCGAAATTTTAGCCGACAACCGCCACTACTCAGCTCTCTCATCACTGTGGGCCTCGCGGCCCGTTGACTTCCGTTATTGTTTGTACTTTCTGGTAGGGGAGGGGGGGGGGGGGGCGGAGAGCGGCAACAAGTTTGATATCCTAATATCATTGCTTTATCGCCCTTCTTCGAAGAAGAGTCACGCTACTCCGCTCAATTCGAATACACCGAGAGGACGCACGCAATCACACCATGCAGTCAGCGCGATTACGCTTCGAATCGGTCGTGCATTCAAAGCTGAGGCCCATGTGGACTAAGGGCTGTCTCATACTAGCACCCAACCAGTCCATCCAGTGGTGACATCGCTTCCGGGTTAATGCAAACATCCTGTTCCACACCACGCTCATGTGAGCGCCGTGCCACCCTTTAACTGATAGAACGCACCGAGATGACTTCGGCGCAGGAGTCATGGTCTCGTGACAGGCTGCAGAAGGGACGTCCCAGCGTGACGTCCGATTCTGGTTATGTATGAATCCTCGGATGGTCACTAATGCAAAGCTTAAAAGCGGTCCATACCAAGGACATGAAACGGACAGGACCCTCCCCCCATCCCCCCCCCCCCCACAAAAATGCGAGCTGAGGCATGCACGGCCAAACCCGTTTTACATGCCACATTCCATTGGCAGCCACCCCGTTCCGATGTGACACCGAAGCCCTGCCCTCCCAATGCCGGGCGCCTCTCCAGCCGGCGGCGGGAGGAGGCCTGGCTGTATGCTGCGCATGAGAGCGTCACCAGACGCGGCCGCCCGGTCCCTGTCCCAGGTCAGCAGCTGGCCGGCCAGCAGCAGCTAGCCTTCAGTGGCCTGTTGACCCTTACGCATAAGCCTGTATGGAAACTGAAAACAAGGCCGAACCTCCCGGACAGATCCCAAGCCTGATGGCGGAGAGGTGTGACCCACCCTTACCCAGGTGGGACATCACCCCTCCCCCTACCCGGGTAGAGGGATGTGCGGGACGCCCCTTGTTCCTTGCTCCGGCAGGGGGCGTGGAGACGGCCTCACCCGAGCAAAGGCATGCGAGTCCACCCTAACCCGCCTTTATAACAGTCGGTCCACTCTCACCTGGCTAGGCAGACGTGTACTTTGCAGTCTTACCCAGGTAGGGAGGGGGGGGGGGGGGGCGTGGTCACCACTGGTGGGCAATGGGGGCCACGACACCGGGTCTTACCCAGGTAGGGAGGGGGGGGGGGCGTGGTCACCACTGGTGGGCAGTGGGGGCCGTGACACTGGGCCTTACCCGGGTGGGTGACGTGTCGCGCACATAGCAGAGCTCGCCGCTGGAGTCGACGCGGCGCCGCCAGCCGGACGGCAGCGGCACCAGCGGCACGTCCACCTCCAGCACGGGCGTCGCCGGCTCCTCCCGCTCGCCATACTTCTCCGGGCTCACGCTCGTCTAGGGAGGGGCGGCGGTGGGGGCGGTCAGGAGGGGCGTAGCCGGGACGGGAGCGGCCGGAGTCGGTCGCAGTGCCGGCAGCGAAGACACTGAGAGTGATGCTGAGGTGGGGCGAGGACCAATACACTGGGCTAGCACTGAGAGCCATTTTGCGAGAGCACATGGAATTTTATGCGTAAATCAGGGCAGTGGCTTTTTGTCACCAACTGAACTAAGAACCTCAAACAAACGACAGGGGCACGTGGCTTACTCTCAGATACGCGCTGGTTGTTCTGGAACAGCAAACTCGCCGTCCAAGCACTGATTGCCACAGCAAGACATCCCATGCGAAAAGCTAATGACTAGACGAACACGCTCACTTGAGCCCGTGGGGCCGTGGACCTCACATCCCAACGGCTCGCGCCCGCCTCAACCCTGCCCAGTATGGGGGCCAGAGGTCCTTCCCGTCACGGACGGACACGGACACGGATTCCCGGATGGACGGACGGACCGGCCCCAGCCGGGCACCACTGACCGACTTGACGTTGCGTCGCGGCGGCTTCCACGTGCTGTTCTGCGTGTCCACGTTGTAGTAGTACTTCCTGCCGCGGTGCACGTACTCGCCCCAGCCGTCCCAGAGGCAGCGCTGCGGCGTGTCTAGGATGTGCGGCACCGGCGGCGCCTCCTTCATCTGAGTCGACGACACCTGGCGGGGCCGGGCAGGCTCAGTCAGCCGGCCCCTGGGCCTCAGCGGCCGGGGCGCCGGGCAGGCTCAGTCAGCCGGCCCCTGGGCCTCAGCGGCCGGGGCGCCGGGCAGGCTCAGTCAGCCGGCCCCTGGGCCTCAGCGGCCGGGGTGCCGGGCAGGCTCAGTCAGCCGGCCCCTGGGCCTCAGCGGCCGGGGCGCCGGGCAGGCTCAGTCAGCAGACCCCTAGGCCTCAGCGACAGACTCCCACCTCAGCGGCCAGGGCGTCGCACTCGGCACCGAGCCATGTACAACAATCTGGGGCGGTAGGGATAGGACAGACTCCCACCTCAGCGGCCAGGGCGTCGCACTCGGCACCGAGCCATGTACAACAATCTGAGGCGGTGGAAATGAGCAAAACCACTTCCCATCGCAAGAACCAACAAATGTCAAAATACGATAGCTATCTTATAGCCTTGGACATGACGCACCTGACAAGTTTGGGGTTAAGCAAGCTGCAACCTCGGGTAGTCGGGATTACGTGGCAACTTCATGGAAAGTCGTAAGGTAGCCAAGTACAGTGGACACGTTGAAGGTTCTTAGCTTAGTTGGTGACAAAATGTAATTAACAAATCGACAGTGATTTAGCTTCAATAACAAGACTATGCCCCGGCAAACACCGGTGTCGGCTAACATGGGGGAGGTCGACACTGGCGGAAGCCAGCAAGCCCATACCCCAGGTCGCCAACCCAGATGACTGGCCCCTAGCAGACGCCACCTGACCCAGCGTCGCCCGCTGCATCCAGCCTGCGGCGGCGCGTCACCCACCTCCGACAGCCGCGTGCGGGGGCGCGGCACGGGCAGGTGATCGGCCGAGCGGCTGAGCCCCGAGCGCGGCCGCAGCGGGTTGGCGAAGTAGAGCGCGGCGCGCACGTGGTCCAGCTGCTCGCAGGAGCCGCCCGCCTCGCTGTCGGCCGGCTCCGAGTCGGACCAGGGCTCGGCGTCGTCAGGTGTGACGGGCGCCGACGAGCAGCCAGCGTCGGCGGCCGGGCGCAGGCGCAGCTGCTTGGGCGGCACGGGCGGTCGCGGCGGGCCAGCCACGCGCGGTGGCTCCACCTGGCGCCCGGCCGCCGACGGCTTGGCGATCGGCGGCCGGCGAGGCGGCTCGGCCGGCCGCGCCAGCCGCTCGGCCGTCCGCTTGAAGCTGGCGTTGTGGCCGGCCAGGTCGACGCGCGCCGGACGCAGGTTGGAGAAGGTGCTGAACGACTGCAGGCTGCGGTCGTACGAGGTCTGCCGCTGGAAGCCGGGCCGGCCGTCCTGCTCGTCGGGCGAGGGCAGCAGGTCCGGCCGCGGCCCCGGCTCGGCCCGCTCCGCCGCCGCCTCGTCCTCCGCGTCCGGCGCGTCGGCAGCCGGCGCCACCTGGCGCTCGCCGCCGCCGCCGGCGCTGTCTGCGCTCCTTCGCCGACCCTCGGCGGCTTGCGGCGGCGCGTCCGTCAGCCTTACCTCCGCGGCGCCGCCCTTCACAACCGGCGCCGGCAGGGCGGACGCCTCCCGGCCCTCGCGCGGAGAGCCTCTGTCCACAGCCTCCGGCCGCGCCGAGCGCTTCTCCAGCGAGCGGCGCTCCTCGCGCCGTACGCGGCCCATCAGTTTGATCACCTCTTGCCGAAAGCGTCTACCCTCACCGGGGCCGGGACCGACAGCAGGCACCTCCGAAGCCCGGGACGTCTCGCCGCCGTCAGTCGTCCGCGAGGGCGCCTCCTCCGTTACCGCCGGACGGGGGAGCTCCACGGCGGCCGACGTCAGAGCGGTGGTGGAGACGAGGGAGGACCCCGCCGCCACCGGCGCCGGTCTCTGACCGACCACGGGCCGCGCGCTCCTGGCGCAGCCCGGCGCAGGTCGCGGGTCGGGTCCCCGCGCGTGCGGCTGCGGAGGCCGCGAACCAGACGCAAGTCGGCCGTCCTCGGTCGGCGGCGCCGCCCGGGGCCGCTCGGCCGGGCGCCGCAGCCTCGTGTCCGTACCGTCGCCGTCCTCCGGCGGCGGCGTCTCGGCTCGCTCGGCTGGGTGGCGCGCCATCGACGCCTCGCCCTCGGCCAGCGGCTCGGTCCGCTCGGCGGGCCGTGGCGGCTGCCGGGGCCAGGCGTCGGCGCCGCGGTGACGGCCGTCCAGACTGCTGGTGCTGGCGGCCGGCGCCGGCGCCGCCTCCGGCCGCACCAGCTCCCATGTGCGACTGCGCTCGTCCACCGACCACGACTTGCGGCGCGCCCACAGGTCCTTGGTGATGCGTGGCCGCCGATGCCGGGCGGCGGGCGGGCGCGCCACCGGCTCGCGCGCCGGCTGCCCCGGCGGCGAATCGTCCAGCGTCTCGACGCTCGAGGAGCCGGCGGCCGCGTCCTCCAGCGAGTTGCAGCGGCGCCGGCCGCCCTCGTCGTTGTCGTCGTCGTCGGCGCCATCGTCGCCACCGATATGTCGCTCGGCGTCTAGGATGGAGAGCGGCGCCCTGCGGCACCGCCGGCGCGTCACCAGGCGGCCCAGCGCGCGCGACAGGGCGGTATGGGCCCAGGGAAGTCACAGGAAAGCACGGTCTGTGGCTGGTGCTCCGCAGCAGGAGGCGGGGCCGAGACAAGTTGGAGCGATGACCAAGATGACTTCGATGATGATCGGAGTTAATGTTGTGACGAAAAACTCTCGCGCCCGTAAAAGTCGGAAGAAACCGACGTTGGGAAGTGTCAGTGACGTGACATGAAAGACAGCGCGGTGCAAGACATCTTATTTGCAAGGGGACGATAGCAGGCAGCACTTTCCGTTGGAACAGCAAAACGACAAAACAAAAAAAAACCAGCCCTTGTGAGACAATCCAGGGCTGTGCATGCTATGTGCTAAGTTAACTGCCATATTTCTGGTTTGCTTTTCTGGGACAAAGAACAAATCAGCATCGTAAAACCTCGCCCCGCAGGACTATAAATCGACTTACCATCAGGTACTATCCTTGCGAACTATAAAAGGTCGACAGTATTGAGGCCACCACCGAGGGTTGCATGCAAACACCTATGCATCTGGTGCTCTACTAAAATGAGCTCGAGCTACGATCTCCACTCTGCTATTCAGTGTTATGCTCAGTAACATAATGCTCAAGCATGCAATATCGTCTCATAAGAACATCTCCATGACATAATCACAATAACATATCCTATAATAGATATGAGATGGTCAAAACATATGTAAATGAAATGCTTAGTGTTCCACACCGTCGGTACTGTCTGAGACTTCCAATTCGAGCTTCTCATCTCTGGTATATATATATATATATATATATATATATATATATATATATATATATATATATACATCATTTCTCCACAACACCCCGAAATTCACTGTGGACGAGGGCACTATCATGGTGCCCCGCTCCACCCCGAGTGCGGGCCGGCCGCCGTCCCGTCCCGTCCCATCCCTACCGCGTACCGTCTGCTGTCGCGCGCGTTCCGCTTGACCTTGGGCGGCAGCTGCGGCCGGGCATGCGGCTGCAGGCGCAGGTACTGGGTCGGCGCGTAGAACGGCTTGCGCTCTCCGCTCCGGATCACCTGCGGATCGGCCACGGTCGCCGCTGAGCGACGGCAAGTGCCTGCGGCGGGCGGGCGCGCGCCCACAGCCCGGGGCTGCAGCGGCTCTCCCGCAGCCGCTGAGCACTCCCACGGGAGCTGATGGGTCCTCCCACCGCGGGACACGTCCCAGCGCGGCCAGATCGGTCGCCGCGCACCGCGCGACATCGCGTCTCTGGCCTGCGCCAGGCGACTCGTTTGCCCACGACGATCGCAGACAAGCCGCACAAGTCGTGTGCAGTGTTCGTTAATGATTCTACATCGCTCACAGACTTTTGACGTGCCCAGGTCTTAGTCATGGTGACAGCAGGTACATTCACATCCAACATGGGAGAGAAGCAATATGTACCCAGTGAGCCACAACAGCACCATATCACATTGACGACATACCATAAGCAAACATCAATCAACAAATTAGAACACAACTGCAACAGAGCTACTGTGGGAAACCATAGGACATGACTCCTTTGCTATAGCAGATAAAGACCATCCATTTTACTTACTTGACTTCTACATTTCACTCTACAAGGGAGACCAACAGACTACAAGGCAGTTACCATGAGATACTGTGCTGCCTCTTACCTGCCACCAGTCACTGTTGGTCTGTTGGATGACCAGGAACTCCTCATCCTTGCACATGTACACGCGTTCTCCATCACTGCCATGGTACTCAAAGTCGAACAAGACAGTGACTACCAAGTCTCTGTCCATGGGCACCTGTGGACCAGGCTGAGTCAGCCATATGCAGGGCAAGGGCAGACAAGCTGTGCAGTTTACATCCCACCGCAAAGTTGACTACAATTGGGTGGCTAATGACAGGATTTTTGGCGGTCTTGTCTTCGGGAGAAGTATGGCAGCCCACAGTATTGGCACAGCATACCCCCAATGCACCAATGTGTCTATGCTTTGTGATCTATCCTGAAAACTCAGTTTGTTATGGCACCCACCTCCTGATTCACCCATTTATGAAGGGGTGGGCTCATACTGTTTTAGGCACTCACAATAAGCCCCTGACAGAAACAGCCTGCAGTTGGTGGCAGTGGCTACACCAAATGTCATGTGATGTCTGAGGGCAAGACAACCCATGCATGGTACCACAGCAAGTTGAGCTTTCACTGCCAAAATTCTGCCACTCACCCAGAAATTCATGATCAGATGGTGGTATCAGGGCCAGAGCTGATGCAGTGTGTGTGTGGGGGGGGGGGGGGGAGCAGAGGGGGCAACTGCCCATCCTGCCAGCAGGCAAGGTGGGACAAGAGTATGTTTTTGCTCCCCCCCCCCAAAAAAAGGAAAGGCCACTTTTTACTAAATTAAAGGCATTGTAACTACCCACAGATTAAAAAAATTAAAATCATGCAGGGTCCCATAACTGAGTTGGAGCAATAAATTTGGCTCAAAAGGCCATTTTCAAAATCCATAGGCCTGTTTTCTGGATCATGAGGCCACTTTTATGAAAAGGTGACCCATGCTCTAGATTAGCAGACACAATTATGTGTTTAGGAGGCCCCTTTGCTGGCTTGGGAGGACCTTGCTACAAATTAGGAGGCCCCACACTGAGTTCGGAACCACCCTCTATGTTCAGGAAACCACATTTCTGGAACAGCAGGCCCCTTTCTTGCATCAGATGGGCAGAGTATTGGCTCAGAATACCCTGTTTTGGGATAACAAGGCACCTTGGCTAGATTTTGAAGCCAATATGTGAATCAGAACATCCTGTTCTGGACTAGCAGGTCCCTCTATGCATCAGGAGGCCCTTTTCAGAAGTCAGAGACCTTGTTTTAGGTGAGATGCTGCACTAGGTATTCAAACAGCCCCATTCAGGATTTTCAAAAACAAATGTAAATGGCACATACCCTCAGTGCCCCTCCCCTTGAACATGCCACCACCCAGGATGCCCCCTGTGAGGAGGCCCCATTTTGCCCACCCCTTGCCCCAAATCCCCTCAAACTCAAAATATGTGGTGCTACCCCTGGTCCAGGCTCATACAATAAGCACACCTTAGCATGGATGCTGATCCCAGGCATCTGCCCCATCATAAGTCAGGACTTAATCATTACACAATGCTCAATAAAACATGTGATGTAAATGATACCAAGTAGGGGTGTACACAACATTTCACAACTGGGAATGGCCTGAGATGCTAACCACTGGTCTGGGTTACATACCAAACTGGTGCTTGGGGAACCAATAATTTTAGAAAGCCAACCCACTGAAATTGTGGGGCCAATGGGGTGCCATACAGTCAGTGGATCCGTACCCCAGAGACCACTCAGTCCTGTTGCCACAATCATACAGCATTATTGAGAGAGCACTTGGGGTCCAGGATATTTCTTTTCAGTGAAAACTGCAGGAGGCAGTGATTAACCTCTGCATACCCCACAGGAATTATTAACACATTATAGCATGGAGCAGGTGGAAAGCAGCCCATTTTGAGCCACAGAAATAACTTTTGAACCATGCCAGGCACGGCCCCAAACTATTCAGTATCTGATAAGTCTCACCATCAATTGTAGAAGCCATGCCTGTAATGGCTATCAACCTCACACATTCTGGTAGTAAGCAAATTCTTATGTTAGGTTGGATCAGAAAACTACTGCTTCAATGGTGAATTGCTGCATGGGAATATTGGCCTCCAATTGCAGTTTCATTTCCAATTTTGGGCTCCTTTGACATGATTCATTGGTTGGTTTGACTGGCTGCTAATTGGTGCTAGTCACATCATGTGAGGTCACACATGTCACTATCAAGGGATACATGATGTACGCCCACAGCCCTTGAAAAAAGATGTATTGCTTGCATCTGTGAAAAACTGGTCAGTACAAGGAAACAGTTCCACATCAATGACTTTCTTACACCACATCAGCAGAAGAGCACAAAAGCAATGTCTGGTCAGGCTGCCTTAAGTTGACTACAGGTAGCTTTAAACCAAAATGATGTTAATTAAGTTATAAGTTACACACACACACACATATATATATATATATATATATATATATATATATATATATATATATATATATATATATAAGCCAATACACCCAAAATTTTGACTACTTTTCATTGACTGTTACAATGATAGAATCTTGTGTGGCCTGTGACATCATTAGTTACATGAACTTGTTGCAACCCAAAGTACTTCTGGAGATAGACTGACAAGGCCTGTCAGTTGCACCTTGAATTTGTCTGATATGACAACATTCAACATTTTAGATCCTGGGGAAGGGTACAGTCCAAACATTTTGGTTGCAAGGACTTCTGGAATAAGAGCACATGCTATGCTTGTCCTTCAGACCCTGAGCCCAACCCCTGGCCATGAAAATCTGGTTCAACAGCAGGATATGGTAGTGAATGCTATGCTCATCATGGCCCACCAAGCAGCCTAATGTCATCTGGCTGAGCAACTGGTGCCACCAGCTGCAGGTCATCCCAGCCAGGGGCTAATAATAAGCTATGTAGCAGCTCAAACCCACCCAGAGGTAGGCATTGCAACTGACTCAACTATGGGGGCAGACCCATGACAGACCTACTTGTGACATGAACATCATGCCAAATACCTGCAATATTAGAAAACTTACGCATTCTCAGTGCTCTTTAACACATGCAACAATGGTCTGGCAGCTTCCCAACCATCACCACATAAAGCATGTTTTTGCAAGTCAAAAACATGTTGAAATATCAATTAAGGCTAAATGGCTAATTCCAGGTTGGGAAAAGGGAGTCAAATCAGGCTAAGATCTGAATAGACCAGTGTTTCAAGTTTCTGACCTTTCAATTTCACTCATACACCAGTTATTATTTTAGAAATCCATCAGCTATACACCTTAGTTACCTGAAATCAGCAGCACAAACCTCTTTGGCTTTATCTTAATGGACTAATCTTGCATGACCTCTGTCAGCCACTTGGGCATGGTAACTCTGATTGACAATATCATGGCCATGGAATGAGACCTACCATTATAGTATTCTTTCCTAAAATATGTCAAGCTAATTACCTGCCAACTAATGAACATTTGGCTGACCTGCTTGCTGGATGGAAGAGTCTGAAGGTTATTCCAGAAATAGAAGTCAGGGGAGGGGTTAATGAAAGGTAAATGTTCACTGAAGTGCACTAAACTGTGAACCAATGAGAACATAACACAACTTTGTAAGCCAGGGGGCTGAGCAGAATCAAACAGCTGCAAAGCTACTTGATGACCTACAACACAAATCCGGCCAGCGCATCGCCCATTGCTCCACTTCCTGACAGACTGTCAGGCTGCCTAAAACTGAAACAGTTTATAATCATCAATGTAGATTCAACACACGGCTTACCCTGGCATTGCATCGCTACTTAAACTGCTTAAGCTATCGGACAAAACTTACGCACCCATAGACGAGCGTTAGAAGTACCGTTCGCGGACGCGAGGCTTAGATGGCATACCACAGGTTAGTCACGTAGTACTGCAATTGCGCCCACAATGTAAAATTCACGAACGGCACCACACCACCACCAGACAACTACAGCCGCAGGCTTAAGCTCAGCCTCACTGACCTACAATCGCCAACACCAGCGTCATGGGCGGCTGGGCCCATCCGTAAACAACTGACGGAGAAACAGGAACGAACAGCTTTCAGCGCCACAGCCGCCGCAGTGCAGCAGGCCACCGATTGGCTTCGCTGATCCATCAACAGGTGCGATACCAGGTCGAGGCTGCTAATTTCAGCCATCGTGCCTTGTCACCAGAGCATGCATCAGTGTGCCGACTAATTCGACTCACGAATAATTCGCGTAACGGAAGAAAGGACGGCGCATAACAGTTGACGGCGACGAACCGCGGGCGTCAGTCCAAACAGCTTGCATGGGGGCGATGTGCTATACATTAATAAAGGCCCAGCAAAGCAGCTACCATCGTCTCGGCAACCTAGTTGGGCACTTTCCAGCGTTCACTTACAGCATGGAGTATGTGAATATCAGGCGACCCTACTTCCCGAGAATGCTGAAAATGCATCCCATCGGTTCACGTGAAAAGAAGCGACGTAACAACTGAGCTTCACCACGATCACTTTCTCAGGCATTCGTTCACACTTGACATTGGGGAAACTCTGCAAGCGCCAGCGCCTGTTCTCTTGGTGTTGGGACACCATATCAACCTGCGTTCCCAGCCAAAAAGGAAAAAAACAGATCCAGCGAACACCTAGAGGAAAAAGTTCTGGACAACGCGGCGGGGGTCACGCAAATACCGGAAGAGAAACAGAGGTAAACAAACCTCCCCGTCCGGGGAGGTGCCCCACTTGGATTAGTGACCCATGATGATGCGTGATTTCTCCCATGTCACTTGCGCAAGCCGTCAACTATTACCCCGAACTTTTGCTAACAGCCCCATGAAGCATCAAGCCAAAGCCACCAACTTCGAGGCAGGCCCTCATCCCCGGCAGGTCTGGCTGGACCGCCCCTCTTTCATCCCAAGCTGAGGTCTGTTCCCGCGAAAAACTCTAGCGTTTTCGGGCCGGCTGTCGAATTGATGGTGCGCCATCGCACCACGTTCCACGAAAAACTGAGCTGTACCTATAAGTCCACCCGACACACAGCCTGGCGTTCCCGGCATACGCCCAGCCACTCCTCAATCGCCACATAGCGGCACATACACCATGGGCCGACTGACCGTGGCTGGGTGGCGACACGACTACCCGGCCAAGGGTGGGAAGCGTACGGATCACCTCAAGCCGGAGGGTGCCCGCCGTCGCCGGCGATGCCGGAGCCGTCGGAGCGGTCGCTGCCGCTGCCGCTGCCGGCTCGTTGAGCAAGGACGGGTGGCCAGGAGCGGGACTGGGAACAACGGCCGATCGCACAACTGAGAAGCGTACGGTCCGTGGAGGACAAGGTACGGATAAAACAGCACGCGCAGTACGCTGGAAGGGCGGTATTCGGTTCGTCGTGGAGGACAGGTACGGATAAAACAGCACGCGCAGTACGCTGGAAGGGCGGTTCGGTCCGGAGGACAAGGTATGGATAAAACAGCACGCGCAGTACGCTGGAAGGGCGGTTTCGGTCCGCGGAGGACAAGGTATGGATAAAACAGCACGCGCAGTACGCTGGAAGGGCGGTATTCGGTCCGCGGAGGACAAGGTACGGATAAAACAGCACGCGCAGTACGCTGGAAGGCGGTATTCGGTCGGAGGACAAGGTATGGATAAACAGCACGCGCAGTATGCTGGAAGGGCGGTATTCGGTTCGTGGAGGACAAGGTATGGATAAAACAGCACGCGCAGTACGCTGGCAGGACGGTATTCGGTGCGCACGGTTACGATTCCTGACAATTCGCGAAGTCGCGATGCATTCGTATCATCGGTGCTCGGTTGTGCCATGGTGAGAGGATCACGTTCTTCCCCGCTTTGACGTAAACAAGGAGTGGGTTTAGGAAGACAAGGTTAGCCTGGCAATCTGCCAGTAGCAAGCAACGTAAACTATCCATGAAAAAAACAAAAAACAGTATATTGACTAGAATGCCATAATCCGGTGTGCCATCGCTCTTCAGCTTCTCGACCAGAAAAGTCGGAGACGACAGACAAGTATGTAGCCTCAGCCACAGCCGCTTGCGCCAAGATCGGGATGTAGATGCAGCCATCACCGGGCGGAACAAGTCTCCTCTTCCCAAGCCAACGTCACATATGCACACAGCTGGAGACGCTCTGGAAAAGAACACACAAAAAGGACGTTATGTACCTGCACATCATAATTCCCAATAGATGGAACAGATTAACTTGATTGGCTAAAACTGCAGCAGCACAATTTGATAACGACGTAACAAAAATGCATTTGGGTAGCCAAGCTTGGTTATCATCGAACCTGTGGTCCGAGTTTGGCAACAACTGACCCAAGGAGATGGGCCAATGTTGACTGCACATTCTATAATAATGCTCCTCAATGGCAAGCAAAAGCTATCTACCAACCAAACACCTCAGTCATTAAAGTTCTTACCCTCAATAACCTCCAGAATAGTTTTCATTTCCAGTAGGTCTTCGCGAATGTTCGAAATTTCATCGTCAGGTGCCTGGGAAACGTCCTCTTCTTCTTCTTGTAGTAAGTGCAACCTAAGCAAATATGTCAATATATATTTATCATTGTGTATATATTCCAGAAATGGTAGTTATGTTTTTAGAAATTGTTATAAACATTGCTTGTGATTGCTATACTAAAATGTACCTGAACATGGAACTCCACAGTCAATGAAGATGGCCAAGCAAATACACACATAACAAAAATTCAGCAACAAAAATTGCGGCACATGCTCCCTTTAGATTTCATAGTTCAAGTTATATATATATATATATATATATATACATATATATATATATATATATATATCGATCTCATGATACCTAACGATATTCAGCCAACAGCCTAGGCAGTGACAACTCCTCGGCACTCACAGCTGGGCGAAGGAGCAGCGACAGTCGTGTACTGTCTCCAACACGACAACGGGCCGCGGGACACATGGGTCCGGGTCGGGCGGTAGGGCCGCGCCCACCGCATGGTGCGCTGCATCAGCCTCGCTGCAGAGCTTCACCACCTCACTGGCCAGCCCGCACATGGCATGCCTGAGGTGCGGTAGTGTGCAGCAGTGTCAGCCGGCCCATGGCAGCAAAACATGGCCAGGAAGTCCACTTATGTTTGTCTGGTACAGGACTAGAATGAATTAGGTTATCAAAACATTTTTCAAATGATATTTTTAGAACCAGGCCAAAATCTTAATTCTACAGAGCAACATTTCAAGCCAAGCAAGTAGACACATGACAAAATAATAGAATACATAGCAAAACAAAGAAGACACATAACAGCATGATAAAAGCATTTCCAGTGTCACATGGTTTTCTCATCTGTTTTGCTTATGGCAGTTATTTTTATGCCTGAATTCTGCCAAAATATCAAAAATATTTTTGCATGCTGGAATTTGAGCCAAGGCTTTGCAATATAAAGCATCTAGTAAAAGGGCTCAGCATGAAGTTGGACATACAAATCATGCTTTGTATGACTACCGAAATAGCTTTGGTATGCCCTATCACATTGAAATAACTATATACCACAGATATTACAAGACTACACACAATGAGTGCTTATCAACATCATCTTTGGAAGTGATAAGTCATATATCACACATGTGCAGATGGCAGACCTGGCACACACCTACCGGATTTCCTTCCATTGTACAAGACTGTCAGTAACCTTCCTTGCCACACACCCACGCAGCTTGGGCAGGTAACCAGGAATATTGCTTAATGAACAAGACTCAACAGCAGGCCTGGAAAAGTATCTGTTGTCAGCATAATGCTTGTAGCATAAATTGCAATTGACAATTGCAAAACATTCCTGAGGTAGTTACTATTTCAGCATAGCTAAAAGCAAAATAGAACTATTTTTTGAGAAACAAGTGCAACATCTCAGTATATATGTGAAGATACTAAACAAACATCATTACCAACAATTCAGTCAAACAAAAAACAAATGCTCATCAAAGCATATAAAAAGGCAAAACTTGTGTTCAGTTTTCTGAAGTATGTCCGAGATTATATACTTGTTGTGGTCAGATATTGGCATCCATATGCCTGGTTATATGGTGCTCATTTGCAATCCGCACATCTGACATTGAATGGGGATGGCACATTCAACTAAGCAAACTATGTTGTGAATAACTGCAACCAGGAGAGGACAATGTGAGCTATTACATACGAAGCTAATGCACTGAGTTGTCCCAGATACTTCTCAGTTCGCTTGATGACTTTTTCAGCATTATTCAGATACTCTCTCAGCTCTTCACAGGTTGTCTTTGAGATGAAGAGTGTTTTGTAGAATATCCCAAGGATAGCAGTCTTCATCTTCTGAAAAACACATTTATTTACATGTTGACTGTCTACCAGCACAACTATTTGGATGTCAGGGCATGCCTTTTCCTTTCCAAAAAAAACAAAGCAGGGGCATCCAGGCCTGGAGCGCATGGTTTGAGACACGACAACACGAAAGATGCCTAGTAATTTATCCTAGAGCTTTGATACAGGTCAAGTGGCTAGACTAACCTGGACTTAGTTCCGACGACAACTTACAGCATAAATCTTACTTGACACTTGTACAATTGCTGTGGCAAAGCTGTTATTACACAATCTACACTAGACTACGATGCCAGTTTTATATTGCGCAATGCGAAGCCTTTTCGACTTACTGACGTGGAACTGCACCCGGGGGGGCAGGGATCACGGTAGGACCGTGTGGCCCCCCAGACAGTTCATGACAGGCGAGGCTTCCCGGAACATTGCAACACATGCGCCATAAATGTGTGAGCTATACGCTACCACATTTTACTGACATGATTTTCTTTTGAAATATTTAATCCGAATCTTCTGAATCGATTTCTGGGATCGGAACTCACGCTAACCAGTGCTTGCTTTGTAAACCCTTACCTCTACTGTCCGATCATACAATTCCAACTCAACGGCAGAATTTGGTGGCGAAAGCTCAACGTGCTGGAATGGTTGACACGGCCCACCCTGCCCTCTGACGTCATCTGACCTTTGTCGCGGCCGCCGTCACCGGCAGCAGGCTACACCTGTCAAGGGCAAATAGTGAGCGCATAAAGCGACTCAAACCCAGCCCGCCACGGACGGGGGAGTCGGGATACTGGCGCTCTGACCAACTGAGCCGCCGGGGCCGATTTCCGAGTGCGCATTGAACCTGTTTCTGTTCCGCGCCAGCTTTTTTCACACCCACCGCCCAGATGTCACGCGTTGTTATACGCTAGGTAATGACAAATATATTAGCAATTGCGAGCCCATGCCACAGTTCATTATGCATCTAGTAAGGGTACTTGGCTGCGCTGATTTCACGCGTCCAGTGCACACTCAAGACTCCTGTGGATCAGACGTCTCCTACGCCCGCTAATTTCCGCAGTACTCCACAGTTTTCTCATTCTCCTTGCGTGCATCCACGTACCCATCAACACAGTGGTGTAGTTTCCCGTTCAGCTGAGAGAGGACGAGGGACGGGAGTCTCACAGTTTTGAGACGAAAGTGGGCCAAATTGAGGAAGGCACTTTTTGGCCTACCTTGAGGGTGCCATTTTTTACGACTCAACCCCTTACATATTTTGCGCAAATGCACCCCTATCCCAAGGGTAGTGATGCCCTGAGCTTATTCACAAGGAACGAAGAATGCACCCTCAACTTTTTCATTGGTGACATTCCAACAACATTCCAACATTTCCATTTCCTCAGCATTCCAATGCCCTCAAGGTGTAGCGTGAAATAATAATAAAAACTTCACTAAGTGGAGTACCCCGTGTACTTCACCCGCTTTCAAAACCGCCTGCGTAATGTACGAATCTCTCCTTGGTCAACCGCAGGTGTTTGGGAAGAAACAACCATTAGTCTAATTGTGATTTATTTTCTACCTGATTGGGCATCCGATGATCACTATCTATATATATTTATATAGGTAACACACGAGACACCACTTCGTTTCATCTGAACAAGCCCAGCCGCCCTAAGCGCGCTCCTACCCGCCGCCGCTGCGCGGCTACTCCGGAGCTAACCTCTCGCGGCTTATCACTTCGCCGGCGCCCGACCCCCTACCGTCCCACTGGGTCTACTGATATACGCACCCCAGCTCCACACCGCTTCCGGAGTCGACCACGGGCGCACGAGGCCGAGCGCCGCGGTCCTGCCGGCAGGGCGCGCGCCCGCGGCCGGCGCCTACACTACGGAATGACGAGACAAACTGCCGCAGAAGCTGCCAAGTGGCCACGGCGCGCCAGCGAACTGACTAGGGCACCACGACACGTTATTGCGGCGGCAGCGGCGGCGGCGCTCCGGATCGGCCCGGCCCGGCAGGCCACCGTCCGGTACAGGCGCGCGCGGCGACACGCTGTCACGCTTCGGCCGGTGCCGGCTGTCGCGGGAGCGAGACTGAGTCCAACGGCATGCGAATGCTCGGGCAAGAGAAACAGGGCCAGGTCGAGGGATGGAGCAGAAATCTTCGCAAGCAGGAATAGGTACGCCGCCACATGGAAGTGCACATGAGAACAACCGATTTTGCGGATAAGATGTCACATACATGAGCGACCTTAACAAATAAATATTCCGTGGAAACAAGATCACAAATAGTCAAATATATTAACAGATATCAAGAAGGCATAAATAAAACAACCGTAAATACTTAACCCAATCGCTCCGCCGGACGACGAACCGCTGTGAGCAGGCACACTACGTTTTATGACGTAAAGGCAAGAGCTGTAAGTTGCATATCGCCAAGACGACATTACGGCTCTCGCTTACCACCAGCGTTAATGAGATAAATAGAACAAAGACCACGGCTAACCAGCGCTATCCATCGGGGCTTCCATCAAGGGGATTGTGAGTACGAACAAGCACACGCGAGGTGGAGATCCAGAACCGCGGCGTCGCGCTCAAGCGTACCGCGGTCACGCCCTGGGAACTCTTGAGAAAATCATAAGTTGTATCCAGCCGTTCGCATATTGCTACATTGCATCAAGCAGTCAAAGCTTTCCCATTTCGAACATACTTCATCCGCTTCTGTCGGCCAGAGCCGCCAGCCGGGCGGGCTGATCGCGGCAACAGCCCAGTTTGTAGGGTGAGTGCAGTAGTCGTACGTTGGTGTACCGATACCAATGTGATGTGACCCCGCAATCCAGAATCGTTCCGCGAGGCACCGATGTCAGTGCCCGCCGCGTTCACAAAGCAACCCCAGAGCCTGGTTTCAACCAGTCCATCCCTATCAAGTTTACTTAGCACGCTAGTCGCTAATGCACGCTAACGCAACCTCGTACCACAACTGAGGAAAACAACAAAGCGCCACCAAATCACAACTCACTCGTCGCAAGACGCAAGCAACTAAGGTAGAGCCATGCCCCTAACAATCACTTTGAGTTCCCATATGGGATGGTGGAATAGAGAAGAAGACATAAAAAGAGAGTGAAATGTCGAAAAGCTGAGAGGAACAAGCAAGACCAATTACATCAGCGCCAGAGAACACAGCCAATCGTAAGCAAGCTGGAGAGCATGCAGCAACAGAGTGCATGCAATTATACCGGGGAATGGATAGGTTATGGACAATCGCGATTGTTTGGCCAAACCCGAGACGTGTACGCGATCAGAGACCTCAACTGAACCCTACCACAGAACAAATGTTCGGCCCTGAGCCGCTTTCTACAGCTGAGGCTGCCAAGGAGGCAGAACCGGCGCCCACAGCCCCAACCAAAGACAGCGGAGGAGACCAAGAACCGCAGTCGCCGCACCACACGGCCGCCAGAGCCCGGACTGAGGAGCACGCGCAGGCCACCGCAGACTAGAGACCCACCCCAACCGGGGCCGACTGGCGGCGGCCGGGCGGCGCGCCGCCGAGCGCGCCCTGCCGGCCGGCCGCGCCGCCAGCCACCGGAGCGTGGCGCCAGGCGGCCGTCACCGGTGGCGCCACCTACGCCGGTCCGCCCAGCTTGGAGAGGTTCTTGAGGAACTGGCCGGGCGTGATGAGCTGGTCGCTGCCGATCACCACCTCCCAGTTCTTGATGGCGCTGGTCACCTGCGGCGGGGGACACACGGCGGCTGCTCAGGCGGCCACACTACGGCGGCACGCGCGCCGACAGTGCCGCCAGCTCGGGGCACGGCTGGCGCCACAGCCCGTCTGGCTGCGGCGGCCCACTCTTGTACCGGGGTGGACGAAAACAGCATGCTGGGGAATTACCCGCCTCAAATAAGGAAATCGATCATATCTGTCTACCAAGTACTCTTAATGACATGAGTTCGGCTGAACGGCGTCACATACTTGTGGAGTACACGGGTAGTGATGCTACCTGTCACGTGCGGCTGAAATTACCCGTACATCCACCTGCCCAGCTAGGATAGTCCGCCGTCACCTCTGTCCAGAGCCTGAGCTAATCCGGCCCGGACAGCTTCTGCTCGGTCAGGACACACAGCAGCAGCGGCATGAGGCCAGCGCCATCTGTGGCGGGCGACCGCCGCCGGTCACCGCATTCGGAGCCAGACGCGGCGTGTCCTGGCGCGCCGGCGGCCAGCCGGGCAGGGGGAGGGGGCTCGCTCACCTCGTACGCGGCGCGGACCTCGCTGTACGACAGGCCGCCCAGCACGTACACGATGAGGCGCGGCACGTTCTTGACGTTCTGCGCGCCCTTGTCCTTGTGCCAGTGGTAGCGGGCGGTGGTGGGCGTGGCGCGCGGGTAGCCGGCCGTGGCGGCGCGGCCCGCCAGGAACGGGAAGTGCTTCTCGTCCAGCTTCAGCTCGATGGCATCCTCCATCACGTCCTTGATGACGGGCGTCCAGCGCGACATCTGGTACGTGTGTTCGGTGATGCGCTCCTTGCGCGAGATCTGTCGGGCGCGCCCGGCGGCGTCAGCATCACGCGGGGGGCGGGCCGGCACAGCCCGCGTCTCCCCTCAGTATCAAGGGGGAGGGAGTCAGCAACAGTAAAGTGACGCCTTAGTCTTCAGCACGAGTAGATCGTCATCAGCTGATAGAAATATGCATCGTCCGACATCGGTTCCCGGAAAAAGTCGCAAGGAGAGAAGTTATAGGGAAAAATGAGCATGGAAAACGTCGAAAGAGATACAGGCCGGGTGGATAAAACTCGAATAAGAGAAAGTTGAGGGGAAAAAAATCGAAAGAGATAAAGGGCAGCAGGGATAAAAGTAAAATCACAAAAAGTCGAAGGACAAAAAGGGGACGGGGATAAAAGCCAAACCGGAAAAGCCGAAGGACACAATGACGAAACGAATAAGGTTGACAGGGATCAAAGCCGAATCGGAAAAAGTCGCAGAATAAAAAGTTATAGGGCATAAAAGTCGGCAGGAATAAAAGCAGGATGGGAGAAGTCAAAAGACAAAAATTGGACCGGGATAAAAGTAAACAGGAGATCAGTTGAAAAGCAGAATACGGACAGGGATACCTGCCCCCTCTGATACGTAAAAAACACTCGCAGTTAAAATGATTTAAAACAGAAGTCATCTGTATTTCACGCCCGGTATGATACGTGGATACAGTTGTGGCCACGGGAAGAAACAGATGGGACTGGATGGAACTGAACGCGACAACACGGAAGTGGGCGGTAACGCACGGCCCAGATCACACCAGAAGGGGCTGGGCGACAACTGACGAGATGGGACCGAAGCGGGCGAAACCGGACGACCAGATGGGCAGGGACGGGACGGCGCCGGAAGGCACCACAGATGAGACCACGCGTGACCGGACGCGATCAGGCGGCAGCGGACGTTGTCGGACGTCGCCACAGGGGTCCGGGCGGGACAGAACGGGCCCAGACGGGATCAGACAGAACCGGACAAAACCGGACGGAACAGGACGAGATCACACGGGTTTGGACGGAGCAGGACGGAACCGGGCAGACTTTTTTAGTTTTGCACCGAAGGACAGGTTGCCTTCAGTGAAAGTTGTTGGCTACGACACTTAATACGACGCCAAAATTAAGGTCTCTACTGTTTCGCAACATTAGCTGCGTTCCGCCGACTCCGCAACGACGCGCGATCCGAACATTGTCTGCGTTTCCCGTTGCGGAGAGGCAGGGGGAGCGGGGTACGCTGGACGGCCACAGACCAGCGGACGGCGTCTCTTGGGGAGAGGCAGGGGGAGCGGGGTACGCTGGGCGGCCACAGGACAGCGGACGGTGTCTGTTGGGGAGAGGCAGGGGGAGCAGGGTACGCTGGACGGCCACAGACCAGCGGACGGCGTCTCTTGGGGAGAGGCAGGGGGGGCGGGGTACGCTGGGCGGCCACAGGACAGCGGACGGTGTCTCTTGGGGAGAGGCAGGGGGAGCAGGGTACGCTGGGCGGCCACAGGACGGTGTCTGTTGCGGAGAGGCATGGGGAGTGGGGTACGCTGGACGGCCACAGACAAGCGGACGGCGTCTCTTGGGGAGAGGCAGGGGGAGCGGGGTACGCTGGGCGGCCACAGGACAGCGGACGGTGTCTGTTGGGGAGAGGCAGGGGGAGCAGGGTACGCTGGACGGCCACAGACCAGCGGACGGCGTCTCTTGGGGAGAGGCAGGGGGAGCGGGGTACGCTGGGCGGCCACAGGACAGCGGACGGTGTCTCTTGGGGAGAGGCAGGGGGAGCGGGGTACGCTGGGCGGCCACAGGACAGCGGACGGTGTCTGTTGCGGAGAGGCAAGGGGAGTGGGGTACGCTGGACGGCCACAGACAAGCGGACGGCGTCTCTTGGGGAGAGGCAGGGGGAGCAGGGTACGCTGGGCGGCCACAGGACAGCGGACCGTGTCTGTTGGGAAGAGGCAGGAGAGCGGGGCACGCTGGGCGGCCGCAGGACAGCGGACCGTGTCTGTTGTGCAGCTGTTTCGGCAGTGGACCTGGGCGTGCGTTATGAAGCCCTAAAACCCCGCACTGTATGGACCCGTTCCAGACACAAAAGCATGTACTTGACATCAGCGAGGATGGCCTGAAGCTCCTGATTATTTGGACGAGGGCGTGATTTCAAAAAATGATTTGGGAAAGGGGGCAGGGGAAAATGACGCCAACTTTCTTCAAAACGCCAATAGATGGGCTTCTCCCGGAATCAAGCTACTTTCTTCCCAAAGTTGGGGGGAGAAGGGGAAGGGTAGAAATGTAAGGTAAGAGTACCCCTCCTCCAACTGAATAGGAAACTGCACCCCGGCGTTCGGTACTATCAGTTCGGAGTTGCTACACCGAGCTATCGACCTTCAATACACCAGGAAGTATAGCTCAACGACGCGACGGAGTAAATATTGAAGATGCCGTCAGTACCCGGCGTGTCATGTTGTGCTTATAATAACGAGGTGTGCCATCATAGGCGTTCAGTAGTGTCCCGTGGACGTCTTGCCGAGTTTCGCCCCTTTGCGCTTTCCGTCTTTTGACTTTTCTATTTTGACTTTCCATATAGACTTTGACATATAGGCCTGGAATTTGTTCCCTTCATATTTATCCAATTCGACCAGTTCAACTTTCTTCTCTGTATATTTTTTTTCCTTACCTTTTTCTATCCCTTTTCCCTGTAGTTTTCTGTCGTTCAACTTCTTCCGGTTGAACTTTTATCCCATTTGAAACTTTTTGGCCCTCGACTTGTTCTGATTCGATTTTCATCCCGGTCGAATTTTTATCAACTTTTTTCGTTCGACTATTTCCATTCGTTTTTTTTTTTGTCGGGACACCGCCACATCATTATAATGTCACGCCATGTTATGCACGCCATCGACGGTTTTCGGGAGGGGGGGGGGGGCGTATGGGCAACAGGTACTAATACGGCCGCCTACCTCCGGTAGTCTGCAAATAGTCTACCAGTTACATCGACAGCTAGGGTCCGGTGAAGCCCTCGGAGCCAGTGACGGCTGGAGCCCCCCGACCCTGCCGTCACCGACCGGGCCGGCCACCGCTCCGCCGGCGTGGGCGGACCCGCCGCCCGAGCGCCGCCGCCGCCGGGCGGACCATCGACCGTCTCGGCGTCACCGGCGGCCGACACTGCCGCCGCTGGCGCCGACCTCAGCGAGGCGAGCCGCCAACACCGCTCCACTCCCGGCGGCGGCCCGCCGGCGGCAGCCACCGATGCAGACCGTGGGCGGCGCGCGGGGACCCCAGCCGCCCGACGTTAATGATGGGGGGGGGGGGGGGGAGGGGGCAGCTCGAGCGCCGGTGGACGGCGGCGGCGGGGTCACTCTCCGGATCTATATCCGCGGCGGTGGCGCAACCGAGCGCACTGAACCTAATGGAATGGCTTTCAAATCTGATCCGTCCGGGTTCATAAAGCGGCAGATGGATGGCACCACTGGGGGGTTCACAGAGCTCCACATAACTGGTCCCGCACTCTCACCGGGGCTGCTCTCCGCCGGGCGGCCGTGGGCGGGACGTTGGCGACACCCGGCCAATCAGTCTACTGATGACGTCAGACCGAACGCCAACGCACTGCTGCGCTGCCAACCGGATGCCTTTAAAGTGCCGACCAATATAGACCCGACAGGATTGTCGTGCTTATTTCATCTCGCTCGAGAGACTGGCGAGGCAGAATTCACGAGCTGAGCTGTCTGCGCTAGCCTGGCTGCTATTGGTCACAGCGGGTCGGGGGAGCGTTGCCATTGGCTGGACGTTATTAGGACCGCACATAGCCGAGCGTCGTACGAAATGGCTGCCGTGGCTTAGTCAGCGTCTGAACGCCAGATCAACTCGGAACGGAAACGACAGCGAACGGGCTACGAACCGAGCGCTGGGGTCAGGAGGGGAGTGTAATTATCTTTGATCGCCGCCACGCTGATCAAGCTGTAGCTGCCACCCAGTGCCGTCCTGATCGGCGAGACTTGATCACCTTGGAATTCATGGAATCCCTACCTCGGCAACAGACCGACATCTTAGTCAGGAGGTAAACTGAGAATGTTGGTATATGAGCACCGGTGGATCTATCAGACGTCGGCCCTTCGGATTCATTGACGGTAAGGCCCCTGCTGACTTCTAAGTGAAATATCGGAGCTGTGAATTGCAGAATACAACAGTTTGTACACGCAGACCGCCCTAAACACAGAACTGCAACGGAGCAGTGAGCTAGTAAAGCACAGGGTCATTGTACGGTGTGCCAGATCGTAATGCAAAGGTGAGGGAGGAGCGAGAAGGCAGCACATAGCCCAAATCCTAACGTGAAAGGCCTGCCAAGAAATAAGCCACGCTTTCATGCTTCTGAACCTGAGCTTTCTTTTCACAAAACAGACCCCAGTTGTCTGGGACACAAAGTGTCTCGTGAATAACGGGAATACCGACACAGATTTTATGAGCTTAACTTTCACCAGGCAGCGCTGCTGCAGACTAGGTCGGACAGCTGGCCGCGGTGAGCGAGCGACCTCGCAGCGGCCCCAGCACAAGCTCACCGGGTGGATCCTCTTCCTGTTGCCGTCCACCACCACGTTCAGGCCGAGGTTGGACAGGTTGGTGATGATGTTGCGGTCCTCGGCCGGGATCTGCGCGTGCTGGATCAGCTTGTTCAGGTTCTCCTCGCTGATGCCGTTCTTCACCAGGATGTACAGCAGGATGATGCGGATCTTGTCGAAGGTGGTGACGTTCTGGTCCAGCAGGATGGGCACGATGTTGCGCATGTGGTCGCGGATCTTCTCCCCCTCGGCATCGGTGCCCATCGCCAGGTCCTGCTCCACCTGGGGTCACGGGAAGCGGGGTCAGATGTCACTGGGGTCACGCGGCCCGGTGCAGGGAGCGAGCGAGCACATCAGCGGATGACCAGTGGCCTGGGCTGCTTAACAATCAGCACGGATTACGTGTCCAAGCTGTGGCTAGCGTCCGTAACAGCGAACGCCGTCATACGAGCAAATCCGTCACACATAGTCTCTGTCCCGCTCTCCGAACGCCAGGTCTCAAGTGAGCGCACACCGCCTCCATTATACCCTTGTCTCCTGTGCTTGTGAGACGTGTGGCTGTATTAGCTTCGGCTCCATTGTATTCAGCCCGAGAAACTGACCTGGCGAGTCCGTCCCGGGCCGTGATGCAGTCTGGTATTAAACCGCCAGAAAATTACACAGAAATACACCAGACACTGGCATAATCTTCGGACTAGACCCGGACGGGGCCTCTGCCTGAGCCTGCCTTACGTCATGCGGGCCCCCCTCCTCTGGCCGTACGTTAGCGGGCTGAGCTGGCTAACACAGCTCGAGGCCACGACAGTCCCGGCAGTGGGCGGGGTACGCCCTACTTAGCAGCATACTCCATTCGGATCAATTCCGAAGACTGCAGCATGGCTGGTGACGAAGTCTGTTCGATTTTGTTTGATGTCCAATTTTCACCGGACTTTTAAAAAATCGGAAAATAGGCCTGTTTTCATTAACTCCCTAAAGCCTCCAGCCAAACCCTCAACAGCTATGTCCAAACGGCTTATAACGACGGGTTTGCCGCTCGACTTTGTTGACATTGCGCGTAGATGAAAAGCGTAGACACTCTCAACCTAAACTCTTGGCGAACATCCTCAAGGGAACCAAAATCCCAATGGCCTTTCAGACCTCAAACAGTTACGCAACATGGCTCGGAAACCCAAGCGTACCGCAACACAACCCAGCTCTCGGAGCATGCGTCCCAGCCGGGGGTGGACCACAGACGGACGGCGTCCCTCACATTAGCTGTCGGCCCAGCTCAGCTGGCCGTCCACCACCAGCTCACATTAGCTGTCGGCCCGGCTCAGCTGACCGTCCGGCTCACATCAGCTGTCAGCCCGGCTCAGCTGACCGTCCGGCTCACATCAGCTGACAGTCCGGCTCAGATGGCCGTCCGGCTCACATCAGCTATCGGCCCAGCTCAGCTGGCCGTCCGGCTCACATCAGCTGACAGCCCGGCTCAGCTGGCCGTCCGGCTCACATCAGCTGACAGCCCGGCTCAGCTGGCCGTCCGGCTCACATCAGCTGTCGGCTCGGCTCAGCTGGCCACCCGGCTCACCTTGCAGAGCTTGTCGACGTATCCCTGGTAGGCGGCCATGCACTCTCCAGCCAGGTGCAGGTGGGTCGAGTACTTGCTCAGCTCCTTCTGGTACTGCGGCATCTTCTTGATCATCTGGCTGAGGTCGCGCATCGACGCCTTGTCCGTGGACATGCCGCGCTTGTTCTCAATGAACTTCTTCATATTCTTAGTCACCTGAGGCGGGGACGGAATGCTTCGTCAAAAAGCAGACTACATAGCTCGACGTACCTTTACACATCAGTGATGCACCTGCTCAACCAGAGATGAGAAGTCACTTGTAAAATGCAACCAACATTGGAGAGACGCTGATAAAATACCCCAGAGTAGCATCCACTGTGCTACAGTAGAATCCGCAATGCCCAGGGGCACATCACAGCAGTGGCTGCCCACTCACAACCACCCCGAGCCAATTATGACCGACTCCCATTACACATACATTTCCACATACGCCTGCTGGACGGAGACCGCCAGGGTCCCCGCCACTGCCGCAGCAGCACACAGCTCTGCGTCGGACCACACCTGCGTCCACCCCCACACCCACCCTCTGCCGGCAGGGCGAGCCGACCAGCGCTCGTGACCGACCTGCTGCGAGACGATGGCGATGTGCTGGTGCCGCAGATCCACCCACAGGTCGTCGTTGTCGTCCAGCAGCACCTCCTTGGGGCTCTCGCCCTGGCTCGCCTCGTACTTATACACGTCGTTCTCGATGGGCAGCAGGTCGAACGCCATGGCCTGCAGCGTCAGCTCGTGCAGCAGCGGAGAGACGGCGTCGAAGCCGCGGTCCAGGATCAGCAGCTGAGAGCGCGCCTGGGGACGCAGGGCACAACGGGATCAACAGCTGAGGGCGCGCCTGGGGACCCAGGGCAGAACGGGATCAACAGCTGAGGGCGCGCCTGGGGACGCAGGGCGGGGCGGGGTCAACAGCTGAGGTCGCGCGTGTGGACCCAGGGCGGGGCGGGATCAACAGCTGAGGGCGCACCTGGGGACGCAGGGCGGGGCGGGATCAGCAGCTGAGGGCGCGCCTGGGGACCCAGGGCAGAACGGGATCAACAGCTGAGGGGCGTGCCTGGGGACCCAGGGCGGGGCGGGATCAGCAGCTGAGAGCGTGCCTGGGGACGCAGGGCAGAACGGGATCAACATCTGAGGGCGCGCCTGGGGACCCAGGGCGGGGCGGGATCAGCAGCTGAGAGCGCGCCTGTGGACGCACAGCAGAACGGCATCAACATCTGAGGGCGCGTCTGGGGACCTAGGGCGGGGCGGGGTCAGCAGCTGAGGGCGCGCCTGGGGACCCGGGGTAGAACGGGATCAACAGCTGAGGGCGCGCCTGGGGACCCAGGGCGGGATGGGATCAGCAGCTGAGGGCGCGCCTGGGGACCCAGGGCAGAACGGGATCAACAGCTGAGGGCGCGACTGGGGACCCAGGGCGGGGCGGGGTCAACAGCGAGAGCGCGAGTGGGGATACTCCAGGGAACAGAATCACGAGTTGGAAAGTCAGAGCTGTGTCTTTGAGGCGGAGCGGATGAAGATCACAGCTGTGGAGTCAGGGTGGTTACCGTTCAACAGCTGGAGAGTAACAAATATCCCATGAAGTATGACAGGCGTTTCTGCCCGTCCCATCTCATACAATGCATGGCGTAAGCTTGACTGGCGGCATGTCCAGTGTTTTTGAACGTGTCAATTGGTAACACGCATGCTAGGGTTAAGCACCAGCCGATGTGCTCAGCATCGCTGTATCCAGCTCACACAGCCGGCTGCGCCGAAATGAGCGGCACAAAAAGCTCTTCCGAGGATCGTAGGTGTCGCGTGCGTCCGCTGCTCTCTTTCGGAACGGACCGGCCGCCCCGGGGCAGCAAAACCACGAGACCAAATCGAAAGCCCGAAGCCGCGGACCATCCTCGGAGTCCAGACTACGGGGATAAATCACAGAGGCACAAACCGCGCGGGTCGGCCGACACACCATCTACCGGCGGCACTAACGGAAGTGTGCGCTGGGAGGGCTGGATGGAAAGAAATAGAAGGAAATATGGCACCACAGGAAAAACCTGCTCATTACATGAGGAAGGATACAGCCACCGTCCGCCCACGCCGATCTGCACAGCATTCAACCTAACTCAGCAGCCCTGGTCGGCAAATAGAGGCTTAGTCACCAAATATGTAATGCCCTCTTAATGCAAACTCCTTTTGGATAAGCGTTGCATCTTTCGATGTACAGCAATTTGTCACTGTTGGCAAAAAAAAAAAAAACACGTGATCGTGGAGATTACGTGGTCTAAAATAAACCACGCAACTGACTCAGGGGAAGGTCTTTAGCCCAAACAGGGTAATTTCGAAATCCTCCGTGGCATTCCAAGTAATAGAAGATCTGGAAAGTTCTTGCGATGCTTTTCAAACCTCACCACAATATGTGCGCAGTAAAGCACAATGAGCGCCCAAACCATCTGACATGACAAGTAAAAGGCAAAATTTCCCCCGAAAGTAGCTTGCTAGCATCTGACCAATCTTTCTCCTATGGGACAACAAAGATCCTCCAAAAGGGGACCCGCCGCGTCACATCCGTCACCGGCAGTCCCGCGGCGTACAAACAAATCGGTCAGCTACTGGGACCGGCACCGCCACCACCGCCGCCCTCAAACCTACCTTCTCGGGCGACTCGCCCATGGTGGGCTCGTCCGCCTTGTAGGCGTCCAGCTTCTGCTGCACCATCTGCGCCAGCTCGACGTTGTAGTCGAAGTCGCTGCGGTAGCGCACGCTGGGGTACTCGCCGAGCACGGCGCAGAGGGTGGCCAGCTGCTGCGCCATGCGCTCCATCGTCTGGGCTCGGCCGGCGGCGCGCGACGGACTGTAGAACACGGGGAACGTGTCCTCGCAGTCCAGTGAGAACACCTGAGACTCCTGTGGCAGGAAGGCGATGTTGATCTCCTTCAGCGCCTTCACGTACTTGGAGACGTTGGCGTTGACAAGCATGTTGAAGCAGTCGTCCGGGCACGCCTCCGTGAAGAAGATGTGCGCCGCGCGGTACATGGTGCGTGTGGGAATGGCAAAGTCGTTGATGATGCCGTTGATGGACTTCTCAGTGGGCTGGACCAGGTACACGGCCTCCAGGTGCTGCAGCGGCTCGCGCTTCTTGTAGATGTCCTCAACGATGGTGATGCCCTCCTGAGCCAGGTCATGCATCTTGGTGCAGGCAGAGACCATGCGCATGCTCAGCTCGTCAACGATGAGCACGCGCCAGTCAGGCGACGCGCCCTTCTTCTGCGACTTGATCACGATGTCCATGATCTTCTGGCCCACGATTGACTTCAGCGACATGGCTGGGCGAGGGTGTAGGCCACAGGCAAGGCAGATGGCAGTGTCAGCGAGGTGGACACGTCCTGTGAGCAGAGGTGCAGAATAGGGTATGTCATGCTGGACACTGCAGTAATACAGTGAAAAATGCAACTTTAAGTGATAAACAATGGAAAGAAAACAAGGTAGGTTCATGATCACTTATATGGCTTGCACTTTTCTCCACCAGACAGCAATGCACCAGCATAAACCAGCTCCCATTAATTAGGATATCTACAGGCTATGATGCTCACACATGTGTCTCTTTCTGGGCAATATGCAGCTGTAGATGTATTTTCTTATGAGCTGCTTGGGACTATCCACTGATCAATGGTACCACTATGATGGTTGATGGGGCATATGCTGGTTATGTAATGTGAAGCCCATGCAGGCAGGTCAGCCTATTATGTCAGAGCCTTTAAATGTACCCCCACAAAACATTAAGAATAAAAATCAAGCATTCTACATACTGTATACCACAAATCCACTGTTTATCTGCAATCATGTCTTTATTCTAATTCCTCTGGAATGACATTATCACTAACAAATGCAGCTGTTTAAGTATTATGCACATTAGGAAAGTTATGCTCTTTTCCTTCAAGTAGGCCAACTATGAACACAACAGCAGCTTTCCACCCCAGGTGAAAAACTTTTGATAAAATATTATTCTCAGATTACAGAGATTATGGCTCTTTGCCTTTTGAATGCAGCTCTGCATAGGATGGAGAGCACCTGGCCTCAGGCAGCCAGGGTGATGGTGTGCCAGGCTGGTTGGCAAGTCACAGTGTAGCCGATCCCCAGAAGGCTGATAACACCATGTGCAAAATGAAGTAAGTCAGTGGTAGCAAAAGCAACACCAATTCCCCTAAAAAAAACTGTATGCTTCAATATCCCTCCATTACAATATTAACAGGACAGCAATCTTGCCAGTAAGGGTGGGGGATGTAGGAGGCAGGGTGTGGCTGAGCCACACAACTTTTTGAATCATCATCCTATGGGTTTGAATTTAAAGGCTTAACCAGTGGTGGCCATAACCACCTAATTCCCTGCACCTATGTGCTTTCAACTGCAGAAAATTTGCATTACTACTGCCTGCCTGGTCTGTGCTTTCCATTAACTCTTGGCTGGTCTGCCAACTCACAATTGTCGCACATCTTGACAAAATATTGCAGATATGTTGGTACAGTTCCAAACATCTTTTCCATATCCCTGTCATAGTTTGAAGACTTGATTCACTACACAGCCCATGCCATGTCTATGGGATCACAAACAGCCTGCACTTGATATGCCCTATTGTTTGCTACATGCAGACAAGACCTATCCTCACTAGGACCTGCTCCTAAAATGCTTCAATCACAGAATGTGTAAAGTAACTTATGTTCATATAAAAGGAATGTGGGTTGGTCTAGTTATCGCAACAAGTTTTAAAAGGCATATCACGATTTTCTTAAACAGCCACAATCTAGCAATGTCAACAAAGTAATACTCACACTAAAACACTTGCAATGTGGTTACTGCTGAGGTCACACAATACCGCGCAGTAACAACGTGTTGGTCCTCTCACAATCCGACCGGAGCACGACCGCAGCAAACAAACAACAGCCAACCCACAAACGCAAAGCAAGTCCCTTTCGCTGGTGGCAGACTGGGGACTTATCGATTGTGAGCTCAGGCGAGTCGAGAGACATCTAGTGTCTACTGCTGAACTATAGGAGACAGTCTGCACAGTAGGTGGTGCGTAAGGCAAGTTCTACTGTCGTAAACGTAAACAAGAAAGGCGCCCGCCGGGGTTCTCAGATCGCGATGCGCTCGTTATGTGGTCGGGGGGGCAAACACAGGTAGCACTCTCTCATGTGACTATATAGGAATAGCAGGTGAGTGGTGGTGCATGAGCATACTTGCGAACAACAGGTGGGTGTTGTGGTCCCAAACGATCTCGGCCTTTCAAGTTAGAAATCGTGTGAGGCAATTACGGCGTCGATCATGTTCGACACCAATTCGGTTGGTTTTCAAATGTTTGGGAGGCGGGTGGGGAGACGGTGCCGTTAGGGCCTTTAACATTGTATGTTCGTAGAACTAGCTCTGTGCTAACGACTGTTTCTGATAGTACGGTGCTTTCCAGCGTTAAACTCATGATGGGCTCATCCGGTTGCAGGTAACAGATGAATCACAGCTCAGGAAGCAGAACATTCCGATCATGTGAGTCAGAGCACGTGAGGAAGGGCAATGAAGCACAGTGATTGAGTGACATTGCTTCAGCTTGTGGAAGTACAACTAGCAATGAAAGTGACAGTGTGTTTCGGTGTGATAAGAGTGGTTGTTCCTTGTGGAGATGGAAATGGGTCAGTTCGTGACCTGATGCTGCGAGCAGCTACAAGATACACAAAAGCTACTGGATGGGTAAGTTGCTTGACTAAGGATATTTATAAGTACCTTTGCAATGTGTTAAGGCCTGACTTTTGCATGGCAACTAACATGTGCTGTTGTGTACGACATATTGGTTTTATAGTTATGCACTTGGTGCCGATATGTCTGGTTTCTGACATTGACTGCCTACATTATGCAGAATCTTGATACTTTGACATTTTTATGCATAGCATATCATATATAATGAAAAAGCACACATAAAGAATACAAGAAATCCAAGAGCAAGAGTTCATAGGACCATCAGGATTTCATGAAACCTGCAGAAAGCTTTTAACAGATGATGGTTATCTCATGATAAGGGTCTGAGAGTAGTTATGCACAACAGGAACAGGTATTGTCATTGTCATTGGGGCTTTACAACTCACTCAACTGATGACCCTAGGTTTCACTTGCCACGCACCCTAGCACGAAGAGTGGGCACCACAGAGAATCAAGCCTGGTGTTTCTCAGATGTGCAGTGTAGCTTCTGCTGTATCAGTTGTCCATGTCTACAAGCATTAGTTGATTGTTTTGTCCCATGCAGAATTATTTTAAAAGCAATGTCTTGTTCCTCATAAAAAGTAGCTGCTTCAGCAAAGTATGCAAAGAAATACACAAAATATGTGAAGAATATGTATGATTGCAAGCATTTGTGTTATTTTTTATTGCTGATAAATTGATCATCAAACAGTGGTGCAGGTACCAGCTACATTGTTGTTCCTGTTTTCCTTTCCATTGTGTTATGTTTCCATTTCCCTCCGCACACCACACTTCTCAGCAGAAGATGCTCAGCCACCCATACAGTGCCAGATACAGTGCCAGGATCTGTCCACACCCCTCATGTGTTATCCAGGGGGATGCAAAGCCTTACTCCTTGTTAAAACCTCCCCAGTTTGTTTTCAGACTGTTGCAATGGTAACCCATTGGATTGTATACTGCAGTCAGTTGTCACTAGACATGTACCTGGATGCCAATGGAAGAGCCAGGATCCCATGTGGTTGCATGTTAATGGGATTCTGGGATCTTTTTGGGGTCCTCCAGGCACATCTCTGGTCACCACTTTACTCATTTTAAGTCTTGCTTATGACAACTTCCTGCCTGCATCATAAATACTCCCAATCCAGATTGATATCCCCCAGTGTATGCCAGTTGTTTATACTCCTGGGATCTTGGGTAAACACTTTGAATACTCTGGGAAAATGATGTGACTTAAAGTGCTGCCCATAACTGACAAGATTTGAAAGAACATCTGCTTCGACCAATATTGGGACACAGAAAGTTGTGCTGACAGTGGATGGATTTCCCTCCAGTGGTTCACCTTCCACCATCCCCGAGGTGTACCAGTGCTGTCCCATCATTACCCCTAGTGGTCTCTGCCGTCCGGCGCGAGCCGGTGCATAACTGGGAGCCCGGCAAACGCGCTGCAGCTTTGTCACATTGTGCGCCGCGAGAGCGGAACGGGTGAATATCCGGCAGGCGGCGCCCCGCGCACCGGAAACGGCTCTGATTGATGGCTGGCCGGCCCGGATTGTGCGGGGCGCGACACGGCCTGGGCCGCACGTGCCCCATGCAGCGTCGATGGTCCGGCCGCGACCGTGCAGTGGCCAGCGCTGGATGGCCGCGGCAGGCACGCCAGAGCGGACGGCTTCACTCTCCGGCCTCAGCGCTGGATGGCCGCGGCAGGCACGCCAGAGCGGACGGCCTCACTCTCCGGCCTCAGCGCTGGATGTCCGCGGCAGGCACGCCAGAGCAGACGGCCTCGCTCTCTGGCCTCAGCGCTGGATGGCCGCGGCAGGCACGCCGGAGCGGACGGCCTCACTCTCCGGCCTCAGCGCTGGATGGCCGCGGCAGGCACGCCAGGGCAGACGGCCTCGCCCTCTGGCCTCAGCGCTGGATGGCCGCGGCAGGCACGCCAGAGCGGACGGCCTCACTCTCCGGCCTCAGCGCTGGATGGCCGCGGCAGGCACGCCAGAGCGGACGGCCTCACTCTCCGGCCTCAGCGCTGGATGGCCGCGGCAGGCACGCCAGAGCAGACGGCCTCGCTCTCTGGCCTCAGCGTTGGATGGCCGCGGCAGGCACGCCAGAGCGGACGGCCTCACTCTCCGGCCTCAGCGCTGGATGTGGCGGCAGGCAAGCCAGAGCAGACGGCCTCACTCTTCAGCCTCAGCGCTGGATGGTGGCGGCAGGCAAGCCAGAGCAGACGGCCTCGCTCTCTGGCCTCAGCGCTGGATGGCCGCGGCAGACACGCGAGAGCAGACGGCCTCACTCTCCGGCCTCAGCGCTAAATGGTGGCGGCAGGGAAGCCAGAGGAGACGGCCTCATTCTCCGGCCTCAGCACCGCTCTGTTCCAAGCTCGTAAAGCGCTGTAAAAGATGGATGTCATCAAGGCTTTCTGGATATGCTCGCGAAAGTGGCGTTTGCTGTAAAAAGCAAAGACGTCTGCTCGTCCGTTTTTTCTGCTCTCCCTTTTTAGCGCAGGGCAGCACCCATATCTGCCGTATGTATTACTCACACGGCGTTTTTATTTGTACGTCTGGATGGTCTTTGGATCGCCCTTTCCAGATCTTCAGTGGCGTTTATGGATCTCGAAGGCTCACTTAACCCAAACCACGACTCAAGTGAAATTGTCCTTCACTCCAGCTCACCTGCCTTGGCGAACACTATCCCTCTAAGATAGAGCATGCGGTTGCGTCACCGCGAGTGCTGACGATGCACCTTTTGGCGCCGGTTTTTTCTTTGGTTTGATTTGGATTAGAGCTTTTTCGGCGAATAATAACCATGACAGGGTTATTGCATGAATGAGGCTGGGTAGTGGCCTCCCACACAGACTCCGTACACTTGGAAGTCCTCTGCTACGGGGACATACCCCGCACAGGGAGATCTCTTCGGTATGTGCGGGTGCCCCGCCAGGTGAAGGGGCACTTAGCCAGCTCATGGCTGAGACATGCAGCTTGCCTCGGATATACGGGGCGTTGCCAGGGCATCAGATGAGGCGTGAATGAGGAAAGGAGGGCGGATACAGTCGATCTCGATCAGTTATCCTGAACAATAGCAGTGTCGACCGATCGTGACGAGTCTAAACCACGGGAATGTACGGCACACTTGCGTGCTGTTGATTCTGTATGCTCTGTTCAGGGGCAGCTCACAGCATCGCCTTCCGTAAAATCTGGTGTTAATCCCTGCAGCTAAGCACTATGTTTCCGCCGTCAATTCATGTTGCACACTTGGAGCCCACGCGGCGAGGCGACCAGAGTCGTCCTGCCCACGCCAGCCGCGTGCCCTGGCCGGTGCCCTCCGGTCGGCCAGTCCCCACACCCCTCTGCGCCAGGAGCCGGCCGCCGGCGGGGCGTCGGTCTGACACGGCGGCGTCACCGGAGCCGACTGTTTGTTGACCTGGCGTCCGGCGCCAGGGGGAGGGGGCTGTCGCCAGCCGCGGCGGCCGGTGAGAGCGGGCCACTGTCTCCAACCGGCCCCTACCGGCCGGACACGCGACCTATAGACGTACAGGATGGGCACGGGTCATGACGTCACGGTCGCGTCTGCCGGTCGGTCTGTCAGTGCTAGGGACACCGGTCTAGTGGGCGGGCTTGGAGCAGGGGCACTGTTCCGATGTTTCAGGCTGTTACATTTGCTCTCTGATTGTAATTGGAGTGAACGAATTGTGTTACTCGGGTCAAGTGTATTGCATGATTATCTTACGATGCAATTAAGGTGATTGGATGATTGTATAATTGCGATGAGTGCGATGCAATTCGCATCGCACTTAATGCTTTTTGGGATTAGCGGTCGTCATGAAATAAATTGTAGCTGACTCAACTACTTTCGCATAATTAGCGTTGCTTTGTTTTAAGGTGTCTAGAAGACACGTGCGTTGATAATAGTCCCTGGCTTTTGATGCAGGCTGTGCATTGGTTTTGCTTTTTGTTTATAATGGAGAATTACTTAAAATCGAAGGAGAAAGTGCCGTCAGTGACGTACCGTCCTTCAATATTGATCACGGAGCGATGTTTATGAGCTGCAAAAGTACTTCAAGGGTCACAAGCTTAAAATCGGGTTGCTCCTCTCATCGCGTGTTCGGTCGCAGTGCCCCAATCGCCTCACTCCCACGCGTGTCCGGTTCCGGCGCTACCCCGGTGCGACCAACCCAGCCGCAGCTGCGCCGGCCGGGGGCCGTGTTTGCGTTGGGCAGTACGTCAGCTCGTCCGGGAACATCGTTTCTGGCT